AGCACAAACACCAACCCACACATTTTCATTCTGCCGTGTTGTGGGCTGCAGACTTGGCCTTAGCAGGTTCGCTCAACCTCCTTCTTGCCCTCTGCTATATTTTACTTGGTCCCCTTCCCTTCTGTGTAAACAGTTGGTCCTAATCATCCCCAAGTAGCTTGTAGTTGGTTTGTTACCCTCACTCACCCGGTTACCCAGTTCAATCACAGCAGGCGTGTTGGTTTGGACATCCTCTTCATACAGCTGTCAAATGTTCCTCTGCTCTGTAGGCCAGACAGAACAGTTGTCTTGGATTTCTTTTTCCTGTTGGGTTGCTGAAAATGTTATCTTCATCACTGCCTGCTGTGGGTACTGGGATGCTTCCTGCGTGTCGGCACAAAATTAGTATCAATTTCCAAGAGCATTCTACAGAGGGAAAGCGCTAACATCTGCTGTTGAGGAAGGACTTTGAACAAAAATGGTCTGCATTAGCCATGGAAGGGCAAAAGGGGTGGCAGACCTACCTTCACAGTGCTGTCCCATTGCACATGCGCTCTGCCTTAAGACCCTGCAAACCATCATCCTGAAACTATCAAAGGAAGTGTTTTCCTGCCGGAGTGTATGCCAGATCCCGTTCACTCCTGCCACACAAAACAAACCTCTTCCAGGCAACTGAAAAGGCTATTTTCTCTCAGTTGTGGGAGAGCATCAATAAATTAGATGAAGTGGGATAGAGAAAGCAGCAGAGGAAGCATCTGCTAGCCTACACACGTGGAGAGCTGCAGTCTTAGCCTCAGGGTTGGCCAGAGACCAGAAATCAAAAGGGAAATGACACTGACAGAACACATGGGAGACAGGTTTTGACATCTCCAAATTGACATAATTTGTTATGTCTTCAACATACTTGAAAGTACAACCAAGCAATCTCCAGGACAGTGCAATGGGAAAAAAAAACATGCAAAGCCATCAGATAATTCCATGGATACATTATTATTATTATTATTATTATTATTATTAGATTTTTGACTGTGAAACATCTAACTCAGTATTCCCCTACGACTGCTCTATGGACAAAAGCATCGAGTTTATTCCATGTCTGTACAAAGCACTGAGTCAAGGTGTGAGTCAAACATTTGGAAACATTCATAGCAATTTTAAAATAACTCAACATTTTCATTCTATGAAGGGTCTCCAAAAATCCATGGGAAAGAACCACTCCTGGATTTCACCATGTTTTGCACTAAAATAAAATTTTTAATTATGTTTTCCCTCATTTTGAAGAACCCTTATGTATTTGTAAATGGCTTATCCTGAAAATAGTTGGGAAAAAAATGCAGTTCCTCAACACCTGCATTTCATTGCTAACAAATCAGACAGAAAGAATCCTTCAAAGGAAGGGGCTGTTTGCAGAGTTTAAGGAAATGCATATTATGATAACATTATGCATTCTCAAATTATTTTTCAACAAAACGTCTCCTGAATGAATTTTTCCATATATTTTTGATGCATCCTTGTATGAACAGGACACAAACTTAGGCATTTAAGAAATAATCTAAAAGCAAATGTCTTACATGGCTTTTCATCCTTAATCTTTCATTGCCATGAAAGTAGTGTGACTGGAAAATAATGGATCCATTTTTCCTGTTACACTTGCCACTACATGGATATTCCAGCAGTTTCTATGTATCTTGCAGTCCTAATATAAAGAAAAATACTGTCCTCTTCATGCTTCTCATCCTCAGATTTATGACTGATTTTTAAAAAGCCAGTTCTTTAAAAACTACCTTGCAGCACCCAATTTAAAAACGAGACAGACAAAGCTGTTTCCTGAAAGCCATAATCACATATTTCTAGTGGAAATATCTGAGGTAGTTGCTTAGGTTTTTAGAAGACTGAAGTAAAAGCTATAAAGAAAGTAGCAGGATGGAATTCCTCCACCTCATTTAGAACTCAGATTTGTGAAACACAAGGTGGGGTAACTTTCCACTGCGGACATCATTCAACCCATAGGAAGAAAGCACACAGCAATCCCATGTGACATTGCTGATGTCAGTTAAAAGCTGAGGAAATGCCACCCATCCACATCACTCAACTTGAGAAGCCAGAATACCTAATCCGTAGTGACTTTAAAGCAAAATGAACGAGCAGTTTGGAACAAGAATAATTGACGGCTGAGTGAAGATTTTGTTAGAACATCAGTTGTTCTTTAAATGTTTTGCTAAAGCTTTTTAATGTTTAATCCCCACTGTCTCTAGACAGTGATTTCAGAGGCATTTGTTTTCTCTGGCCTTAAGAAGAAAGGTGGCCACACACACCCAATTATCGAGCTACTCCTTTTTGGTGTTTTTCCTCTTGCAACCCCTCCAAGCATTCTATTATGAAGTTAACGACATTTCAGTTACTGTGATTTTTTCCCTAAAGGTTCTGGTTCCCACACTGAAAATCTGCCTCCAATGTCAAATTCAGATTCCAGTTCTCAACATCTGTTCCAAAATACATTGACGGCCTAACCCCTGAGAAAGGGGACTTCAAGGTCTCTGCCTCCTTTCAGAATGCGTCAAGAGTATTTGAAAAAGAAGCAAAGAATGTGAAATCCCTTGATGAAGTGTTTTGAAGGGCCCTGGCCCCTCTGCAGGAAAAGTCAAATATTACTTAACTCTGCTCACTTTTTAAGGTGGAAAACAACTGAACCTAGCAAAATGGCAGCAAGTAGCTTTTTTCCAACAGCACATTACACATGCACCGAGCAAATGAGTGTTCTATCCAGGGTGGTGGAGAGAAGAAAGAAGTAAGAGAAATCGAGCAGCCGATTGTCAGGGGATGGCAGTAACGGTGCTCTGGAGGAATGGGGTGGGTGGGGAAGCCATCAAAATGAAGGAATAACAGTTTCCTGGGAATAAAACAGTTGGGTACAATACACTTCTGCACAACAGCATTCAAAACCAATCCTCCATACCCACATGAAGAACACATCTACCAACACTCTGGCGCATCGGACATAAGAGAGTCAAAGTGTATACAGCAAATACAGCAGACAGCTACCCAGGTGCCATTCCTGACCTTACCTTTCACGGCAGCATCCTGACCACAACCCCATCAACCACAAGGCAAGGTCCTGAGACTGGAGTTTGCAGGACATGTCCTGATGAACACTCTGACAGAGGAAATGAGTTTCCTTCTACCAAAGAAGGCAGATGAATGCACTACAGATAGCTGATCTGCAAAGAAATGCCTGCAGGGGACAGGAACACACAGGTGGAAGAGGTGCAGCTGGTGTTCTACTCACCATGAATATCCATTGCACTGACCTCTCTCTTCTTTCGAGGATTCTTGGAGTTATCAGCTCCACTTGATATGTGAGGACTCCAAGGTCAGAAGAATTTTCCCAAGATCTAAACCAAACTTCTAAATGCATGCCTGTCAAACCACAAATTCCACCACATAATCTGAAGTTTTCCAAAACTGTTGGAGATGGAAAGAGAGATGGACTTAAATGGATCGGGATTTTAGGAGATAGTTGATACTTTTCTGATACCTGGAATTACATTGAACAAAAATCGATTTAGTATCGAAACAAGGTCAATTGCACTTCAACAATTAAATTCACATAATACCCAAAGTAAAATAAACTCTAAGATACTTACACAATAATTGCCAGGAATTCAACTAAGAGAGAGGTTCTCTAGCAGACAGTCCTCTAAAGAGATGAGTTATTTAATTGTTGAGTGCCTTTATGGAGGTCGAAATTTGGATGTAACTTCCAGGTATTACTATCATCTTGAAGTATCCACAGCGGTAGTAGCCTCACATAAAGTTAAACTTTAAAAACTGCCATTTCATCACTTCTTACATCAAATGTAAGAAGTGATGGGTCCTAGCAGATACATCAAAGGCCACACACTCCTTCAGGAAGTGTGATTAAGCCAGTGGAATACAAAAAAAGAGATTAAGTATCTTACACTTGAAAGCACCTTGTTTCAAGGTAATGGATATTTTCTACAGTTTCATTACAACTGGGATTTATACACAGATCCTAAGAATTACCCGAGTGTACTTAATACACAGAGGCCCATGTTGAAAGGTGGGGTGTTCTTCATTCCAAGGCCAGCTCACCAGCCATTTCTCTGTTTAGAAAAGCAACTCAGGGAAAACAGGGGCCTAATTCACTGTGAATCCTGGGCCAGGACTGGCTACATGACAGTGCTTGAACAAGTTCTTGCAAAGTGGCTTTAAGTTTATTCCACAACCCCACCCCCAAAGTTTGCAATCCATGCATATGAGTAGTCTTCAGAACAGCCACAAACATGCACCATGAAAGTCTGTGCAATTTAAAAATTCATTGCATCATATTAAACTTACCTTTAAATTCCATTTTCCGGAGTTTTCAAAGTAGCCTTGCATTGCATGAATGAATAGATAATCAAATGGTAATTACTGAACACTGTGTAACTAGTACAGTTTTCAGGTACTCAGAGAACTCTTGGTATAGAAATGCTTTTGAGGAACCACTGGGTACAGATAAATTCCATGGAGACCTTTGTGAGATTGTCATGTAAGATGTCACAAGACAGAATGCACCTCATGACAAAGGAGTCAGTGTGACTCAGGGCACAGCCCCCAAAGCACTCAGGATGCAGACAGCCCAGCGGGCTTTCTGCAAATGGGAACCTTGCTCCAAGGCTCCACGGTCACTGCAGCACTGTGTGCTCTGCACACGGATGAGGCTATCATAGCAGTCATATGCTTGGGTCTTTAGGAAAGAACTGCACAATAAAACCTGTTGCAGGATGTTGTTCTTCTTGTGTGTACCCATGGGTGGCCAAACAATGACAGATTACTGCCCCTGGATTGACTGACTGCTACAAGTATACTCTGCTACCATGTATAGCTGAAAAGCTGTACTGTCAGTGCCAAAAAGCAGGCCAATACTAGGAAGGCTTTCTTGGAAAAACAAAGATAGGTACACAACGTATGTGTGAAAACACACTCGGTAATAAAACACACACACCTCCTCTAGCAAGAGCGATACAAAGGGGTTATATAAATTTATTCTTCATGTAACAATCGATTAGTTTAGAAAATTCCCATTTCAATGTTAATCCCATCTCTCATTTTTAAAAAGTCACTAAAAGGACAAAAACCCACACAAAAATACAATCTGTATCTGTTCGATATTTACAGTCACTATTAAGGCGCAGATTGATTAAAAGTCAACATTATTCAAACAATCCAAATATTCTGTGCATCACTGTGCATCATGACACCAATAATCCATGTGCTATAGTGTCATTCCCTTCATTGCATCGAGAGAAAGTGGGAACAATAACTTCCAGTGTTTTGTTCTTTCTTTTTAGCCACCCCATTTAATTTAAGTGGGACAGTTTTCTCTTTGGCATGAAATCAAAGCACTGTTCCTAAAACCTCTGCCAACTTAACACTGCAGAAACATTCCTCCTGCTCCAGACACACATACAAGGTAGAGTGTCGGGTCAAGGGTTCCAACCGTTTCACGTTTCTATTATGAAGGTCTTATTAAGAAAGACCAAAGCACTGAGTAGTTGAACAGGAAACAAGTCTGGAATTGTCACCTGTGCTAGGAGGTAAGCATGACACATTTCTAAAATAAAAAAAAAAAACCGGGGGAGTGCCACATGATCCTCGAGATGTATGTGCACAGGGTGAGTCGCTGCAGTAGACCTGCATCCTTCAGCACCCAACGGTGAGCGCAGGGATGGACAAGCCCCATAGTGCCGGTTCTAGCTCAGGCTCACTGTCTATGGAGGTGAAGGTCACCAATACTATTTTGTGAAGGGAAAATTCTGCAGCATGCAAGATCTCGCTTCAATTCATGCTCTTACTTTAATGACAAGATTGAGCCATAGAAAAACATCAGCAAATATTTCTCATCCTACATTTAGATGAAAGTCCCCAATTGTGTATACTTGTCTACTGCCTCTGGCTTAGAACAAGGGACAGTGGTTTATGTTCATGTAGCAAGCCTTAAATGTTGGACATAAGTCACTACAGTACCGATCACTGACATTTCCTATGGCAAAGTTTTCCAGAACATTAACATACTTAGAAATAATATTGCTTTGAATGAAGAAAGGCACTTCAGTGATTTTTTTCTTCTTTCATGGACTAAAAACTCCATAAATGCACAGGAAGATGTCTGAAAAGATCCAGGCAACAACTTTGCCCAGTTTCTTGGACTTTCACAGTTTGAGATTTTAACAACGAATCTAGCCATTTCAAAACAGTCTTTTTATTCCCCCATTCAAAACTCAGTTACCTTGACGAACTGTGACTCGAGATGTGAAGCCTTTCCAGGCCTGACACATGTCTCCCTCAAGCAGACTGATTTGGTTTGGGGTAAGCCCGGTGACCACACGGAGCACGGCCAATGTGTGCCTGCTATGAACTACAATCTCTCTCTTTATAATGGCAACAGTGCTGTCTTGTCAGATGATTATTGGCCTTTTAAATAAAGTGACAATCTAGGGCTCCAGTTATTGAATGCTTTTCATTCTCTACCATAAATCTCTAGTAAATATCAATTTCATCAATTATGTACTGTATGTTTATAATATCTAAAAATAAAAGTTTGATATAAATAATGTCCTTCAATGGCAGTATACACTTTTAAAAAAAGCCCTTTGCTTTGAGACAACCACTAAAATCATTTTAGCAATACAGGCAGCAGCTAAATACGATGACTGCAAAGGGTTAATATTGCAAAATCCATTTGGTCTCTCTTTGCACCTGTTACCATGAACTAGGTTCATTGCTAAGTGTTCCTAGGATACTGACATAAATGAATAAATTGGTCCAGAATCCAGTGGACTCACATTTCCCAAAGGCACAGAATATTCTGCAAAGAAACTAGTGTCCAGTACCATTTCAAATAAAAATTTGATGCAGCCAGAAAAATAACTAAATCTGATCTGTACCAATACATCAGGTGACATAAAAATGAGAGGGAGAAAAAGAGAATTTCCACAGGACAAAGAAATCAGAACTGTGTAAAGTGCTGAGATACCTCAATAATTATTTAAAGCAGTACCAGAAAGTCCCATTGTGATTTTTTAAACCCCGAAATACCAAAACCAAACGAGCAAACAAATAACTTCTAAGTTTCCTGGCATCCCAGATGTCAATTTTTCCTTCATTGTAAGTAAAAAAAAAAAAAAATCAGTGCATATATTATATACGTAAATAAAAACAAGAGATAAAGCCTTTCCCATATTGCATATTCTGTCCAGCTGTCAGTTATAAAAAGTCATCCACACTTGGAGTTCTGTATGACAGCATAAGAACAGTGTCTCTCTTAATGTCTGCCGCAAAGTACAGGTGTGAATACGATGCTTTGGTCCTGACACGAGACACCCTAAGTGCTGGGGGTGCTGTGCGGTGAAGGCTGCTCCCAGATCTCGCATGTCCAATTTTACAGTTAGGTGACGGACGCGTGCCCAGAGGGTCCTGCTACCAGCGGCCACTGACACTGGCAGCATCTGAGTGGTACTGACGGGGTAGCCTCCCACTCGCTCCACCTTCCAGGAAAGAGGTGCGTGCATTTGGTGGTTCAAAAAGCTTTCTTCGGTTTTTATTTAGTTCTAGAGAGAAAGAGAGAGAGAGAGAGAAAGGGAGAAAGAGACAACTGTTAGGAGCTCAGTGAAGAAATTCTATATACTACGGGGTGTGGCAATTCAGAGGTCGTAGGAGGCCATCGGAACCAGCGGAGGGCATGTGAGAGGATGGATGCATCAGCAGTGGCACAGACCATATTACACCTTTTGATCTCATCATGTCAAACAGCAGCCCTGATGTCAGGCAGGAAAAGGAGAGGCCACAGCTGAACTCAAGGATCCTGGAAGGGCACTCTGAGGGGTTCAGGCCCGGCCCCCAAGGCTTTGCGAACGCCCCCGCCCACTGCTGCTCACCAGCACGGAAACACCAACTGGGGGAAACTCCAACAGCCGTAAAAAGTAATGTCATTCTACTGCAATAATAGGAAGAGAAAATGGGAAGGGAAATCCCTATACCTACAAAACCGTACCATGGAAAAGCAATGCTTGCAAATCAATACCTGAATTCAAACTTTTAGAAAAAAAGTGAGGTGCTCTATTTTCTTTTAAGGAAACCAGAATATTTACAATATAACATCTTGATCTTCTTTTGCCTTAAATCTTTTGCCAGCTAAAGAGCATTAACCAGAAAGTCTGCAAAGTTCATTAAAACATACCACTTTGTCTACATCTATGTACTCCCCCATGCAGTGTACACACACACACACACACACACACACACACACACACACACACACACACACACAATCACCATCACACCAATGATGATAATTCTTGGTAATTCACACAAGTGAACAAAATTGTCAGGCTCTGGCAGGTAACATTTTTGAGACCACTCAGATGCACATTTCTTCGAATACATTCACATTAAACTAGACAAAAATGAGTAAACAAACTTGCATATAGTCACTATGTGTGCTGTGTTTCATTTTTTGAGGAGGGCAAAAGCAGATGGTTCCACATCTTCTCTCACTCGGTACTAAGCTCTTCTTTCTTAAGCACCCTAAACAATCTCCCGACCCCTCAGTTCTGCAGGTGCTCCACAGTGCTGAGGAGAGAGATGCTTTAACTGGACAGAGGTGGTTAAGGCCAGACATCCTTCACATTCCACCCTACTGCCTGCCACTATGTCAAAGGTGCCCCTACTGAGCTGCAGCAACAGTGGCAGTGTCTCTTCTCTGTGCACACGTAAAGGTCTTTGAAGAAAAATAACAGTGGTTCATTAGCATTTACCTCACAAGCACGTTATACTGATTTTGTCCTACACAAGTGTGCCTGAAGTGGGAAACAAGATTAACAGTTTCCATTTTACAGGTAAGAAAACTGACTAAAAATGGATGAACTCATTTGCCCATACAGTTAGGATGTGACAGAGCTCTGGCCCTGTCTGATACAAAGGACGAAGCCATGAACCACAGTGGCCAGTGGCCCTTCAGACAGAAACGGGCAGAAGCATCAGAAACACAAGCCTGTGGTAATGGAAGTCCCAGGCAGGCCAGATAACAACATGATTTCATATTTTAGTATACAAACATAGCTTAAAAACTCTGAAGATGCAAGGAAAATATCCATTAAAAAATACATACAGGCACACTATAAATGGCTTTTTAAGGTCCTGCAGAATCATGGTAGCAATGGCATTCGTAGTAAAAGTTGTACACAGATATTCTAGCTTTTAATAAAGCAAACACCAACTGAAACATTTGGAAATCAAAATTGACCCAATATATTGGAAGGCAAACTAGAAGGTTCTACCAACCGAAAGTCAATCACAAATGAATTGCTTAAGTACAGAGCCTAGGAGCATTTTAATTTTGCTTAAACTGGCAGAGTATCTTTGCCCTCTGGGAGAATACCCTGCAAATCAAGGGGCCAACCCCAAATGACAGGAAAGAAAAAGGAAGCAATGAAAATACGTAATATTTTCCCCTGACACATGTGACACGTGCAATGCAGCACACTCAAATCACTGGGCCATCGAAGACAAAGTGCTTTCTCTGTATCTCCCCTACACACAGACACGCAGAGGCCGAGGCTGCTAAGTGGGAGGCACAGAGGCATTCCACAGAGCTTCTCAGTGACCAAGCCCTACTAAAAAACTCAAGAATTTCTTCTCGCAGTTAAAAATCCAACTCCTTTCTCTGATTTTTCTTTCAGTATGCCTAAGGGATAGTTTGGGAAAATACCAACCTTTTTCTCTGAAATTCCAAGGTTCACACAATCCTGGCAGCTCTCAGGATCTTGTTGCGGATCTGAACAGAGTCACAAACTAAAAGAATAGGTTGGGAAATGTTAGATCTACCTGAGGCCGTGGCAGGAAGCCTGTTAACTGGATGCTGAACTTCCTCTCACTGTCTTCATAGAGCCATTGAACCAGTAACTAAGCTACTCTGAGGGAAAGCTGAATTAAAAAAAAAAAAAGCATGATCTCAAACAAACAAACAAACAAAAAAATCTGTGCTACAGATCAACTTCATCTCCTGCTTTATTAAAGTGTCTTCTGGCCCAAGGTTAAAAACAAAACCAAATGCATCTTGTAAGAATAAGTCTAATTAGGTTAAAATCTCCATTTTTTTTTTTAACAGAGAAGTTTTGAGCAAATTCTCTAACTACCTAAACTGTGTAACCAGCAAATATGAACCCACGTAGCTCAGCTAGACAGTGTCTGGACATGGAAAGGGTTGGGACTACTTGTGGACGCCTCTGTTACCAGGTGAGCTGAAATGGAAAAAAAGAAGCTTTCTCATGAAGGATTTTCTCAAGAAAGCCTATTACTTGCAGAGAAAATGATCTATCGGGTTGAAATAAATGCACTCAACAAAGTAAGGCAAAATCATCCTTGAAATCATCGAACACTTCACGTTGTGCTAATCATTTGTGAGAGAGCTTTTTCAACATTTCTAAGTCTCCTTACAAGCAAGAGGACCTGTGAACTCCACTGAGTGGGGTAGTCCATAGGACTTGTATGTAACCTCCACAGAATCACATGGCGGATCAGGATTAGAAAAAAAAAAAAACTTCTAAAAAAGGATTTAAAACCCTTTTGATTTATATCACACCCTGAAAACATCAAAGATACTGATGTAGTCCAGAATGAAAGTACTGGTAACCCACCTAAAACATACGGATGTAATTAAAAATATCTGTTTGAAACCAGAAACTCTAGACAATTTGGAATGGGGATGGTTCAAAGGACAAACTTGGTTTCCCTGATAGGTTCTCTAGATTCTCTAGAGACAGGTGATGGTGTGTGGAATACACCTTCCTCTGATCTAGTAAGAACTGGCCTATAGGAGCAGCTCAGCAGAACAGACATGGCGAATACGTGAGTTCATCAAATTTTGATTAGTGATATCCACTTAATTTGTAAGTAAAAGAGTATGAGCATACATAAAGATAACTCGCATTTCACAGAAGCTCTCTAATGATGAGTTTTAGTGTCATAAGCAGAAAACAGAACCTTACTGCTACAAATGGACAAACAAGGCAGTCTCCTGTTAGTAATATATGCTGTTAAAATTAAAGTTGATTTTCCCTAGGCCTGTTGACTTATCACATGGAAGGACAACCTTTATGTAGGAATGGCGACCTTACACAATCATCTTGTCTCATTTAGTTATTACACTCAATGTGAAAAAGGAGCTGACAAGTTCACTCAAGCACTCATGAATTAGCAGAGGCAACACCCATTGCTATTTTAATCAAGTTTTCTTCCCATTGTATCAAGAAACCTTATGAGTAACAGGAATTATTCATCTTCCCTGTGCAGGGCCATTAACACAACCTCCTGAGTATGAACTCAAGAGAAAGAACTCAATGGTTGGATTTCCTCTCCTGTTTCGAAGTTGCTCTGCCTACATCAGCCTCAGGCAAAGTACGGAGATCCTGGTAGTGGTAGCAGATAAGTGAAGGACCAGTGAAATGTTAACTTTCGCTTGCCAATGTGATGAGTGAATGTGGTCTGAAACGGACTTGCACCAGGTGGTTGCAAATGCCATCCTCACTAAAGCATAGTCTATAAATTCAGTGTAGCAGAAATGCCCCCCTTTTCTTTTCCACAACAGGCGACCCTTGGCTACTGCCCTTGGAGTCTGTTGTTGGAGAAACTGGCACACACATAAATGCAATATTCAAGAACCTTCCTGGATCTCGACCCCCCCCATGTCCTACTTCCTCACATTTCTCTAAATGTCATTTAAGGTCCATTACTATGTATCTGCTCATTCCTGCCTCCTCATCTGGCTCAGTTCCTTTTAGTTAGATAGCATCCAATAAACATGTACAGAGCACTTTGTTACATAGAATATGCAATGGATGTATAAGGAAGGTGGCCTCAGGAGACAGAAAACACTAATGTCCTCCCTTCCTTTCTGTGACCACCTTTTGTATTTTACACCCACCTGTAACTCAAATCCCAGTAAGATATTTTAGAGAAAAATTTAAAATCACTAAAATGAGTAACACTACCAAGTCACACGCTATACCAAAAAAAAATGTTCTTTTTCCTCGTTGCAGTGGTCTCAGTTGGTATGCATGGGCATCCACATTTGAAACTGGAACCCAATCAAGAGAGTTAGAGACTAACCCAACGATTACTGCCTAACACCGAACTACTCTCGAGTTCTGTGCCAGCTAGCTGGTTCAGTCTTTCTGAAGAGCTGTTCTGAGGAACGACATTGTCTAGGCACAGTTCCTGGCAATGCCTTCTAGGAGGCAGCATTATATTCTTGGCATTTGTCACACAGTTGGCAGGAGGCCCTCTGAAATCACAACCACCAAGCGGTCAGGTTATCGAGCAAGCAGCTGATGGACAGAAGCAGCCCCACCGGCTGAGCCTGCTGGCAGAGGTCATTCACATTTTGCACTATGACTTGAGGATTAATATTCACCTGAGATTGCAAGCAGCATTTTCCTTCTGGCACCAAAAGTGGTAATCCCCAGCTCTTTAAGATCCTGATCTGTGAGAGTGAGAAATGTCTGAAGATCGATCTATGGATAAAAGAACAATCTCAAATCAATGTACAAAATATTTATTATTTCCTTCTTGTAGGATCAACTCACATTACATCTATGTGTTAACGTTCTATGTACTTAGAAAAATGAATGTTGGTGGCACAAATCTAAGGGCAAAGGATTCAGAAATGAAGGATACAGAGTACTGATTTTAACAGAAGATAGTCCAGGCAGGTGATGTACTGCGTGTGAGCCAAAACTTAGCCCTGAGCATCCCGGCAACTACGGCAAAAAGGGAAACATTATTATTGCATCACTTTCATTATGTGATGAAACAGGAAGTACATTTGTGTCCAGAAAAGAAAAACATCTTTCCTAGTTTTTGGTTCTGAATTGGCTGCATGTGTAAGAAACTAAATAATATCACAGATGGCATCTCACACTGTTCCACCAAGAAATCGTGCCAGGTCCAGTCCACATGTGACACTGCTTCCTTTGGTTCAACTCAGCAGATTCCTGGTGAAATCAGGCAGTATATGCAGAAGCAGCACGAGGAGAACTCCACTCCTTGGCTTCGGCAACAACGTACAGAGGGAAAGGGCTCAGGGATTCTCTCTGTTCACATCATGTGGAAGAAGTGCAAGAAAACAGACTCTGAAATCAGGCAGAACTGGGTTCACGTGCCTGCCTACTCTGATGTTGATTGTCTGGGCGACTGGGGTCCACAAAATTGTATCTTTCAGGACTGTACTGGGTGTTAAAAATGACTGTAGAGGTAACACAGACAGCTGACCAAAGGAGTAAAGTGATGGACAGCTATGGCCAGCAAACATTTACACTGACACAGCATCTCTGAAAAGTACTACGTTAACCCCCAATATGCTTGCATGCACATTCGTGAGGTTACTTACTGAGGGATTTTCATTAAATCACATATGAACATCAGAAAGTATCCTACATAAGCATCATACATGTAGAAAATATACCATATTAAAAGAAGCAGGTCATCAAAATTCAATGCACAATTAAAAAGTAAAGTACATTTTAACTGGGTTACACTGAACACAGTTTGAAACTCTGTTTTGGTTTTGAATGGATATCCAGTTCTTACAAAGCCTCTGGTTGATCATTTATCATGGTTCCCAAGATAAGTTTTTAGAAATTCCACTTAGAGACTGTATTTGTAGTGTTCTCAAACTTTCTCTTAAAGAAGCAGAGGGTAAATACTCTAGGTTTTAAGGGCCATACTTTTACTATTACAACTACTCAACTCCATTTCTGTAGCTCAAAAGCAGCACTACCAACACATCAGTGAAGAAGCCTGGCTGTGTTCCAATCAATCTTCAGCTACAAAATCAGGCAGTAGATCTGCAGATCATCCTGTTGGCCTTTGGCCTAGCTAATCAAATACTAGCTAAAGCTACTCCAGCTATATATTTTTTCATGTTTCTTTCCCTTTTGGAGTAGCTAAGTGAGACATAGAATTAATTTCTATGCTTCTTCAAATAGGAAATACAGACTAAAAACAAACCCAGAAACATCACAGGTAAGATTTCATGTCTCAACGCTGAGAACTTCTGTGTCTGCACAGTTAAACTGCTTCTGCCCCAAGCCCCTGTCACTGACCCTCATTTAACCAGCAAGACTAAACCAACAGAAACGATTATGTAACACATTCATGATGAGACTTACTCAACTCAGAAAATCCTTAGCTCCTCGGTTAAATGAACACTTCTCAGCATCCAGCACATACACATCAATCTCTTTCTTGGTGCAAAAGGTCAAAAAAGCACGATTCAAACTAACGGACTGAATGACGGGTAGTGCACTGAATGGAGGATACAGAACACGTAACACGGATCTTCAGTCCCCTACTGACTGATGCATGCCTGGGAATCACTGGCTCAATCGGATGTTTTATAACATGAAATTAAGCCAGCTGGTGTTAACCATGGAAAATGTCCTGATTTGGAAAAGAGAGAAATTTATTTAACCATTGAAGCTGCCAGCCGTAGGTTTAACATGCCGTGGGAGTATGACGCATGACGGAGGAGCTTGCTCGGGAGCTTTTTTCATGACACCTGTGCATCGCAGGCTGTGCTGCCCACATGGACCCAGGTGCATGATGGCAATCATTCAGAAGACATCTAAGTTCTGACTCGGGCTAGGCACGCCCAATAATAATCGCTCTGTTCACACACACGCACTGTGAGAACTGACTTCAGTAACACACCTGGGATATGGTTGAAAACACCTGGATATTTATTTCAGATGCTGTGATTTACTCTGAAATGCCACCAAGCACAGATAAAAGAATGAAATCCTGTTCACTGCAGACCTGCTGCTGACTTAGGGGGAGCTGTGACTCCTGTGGTGCCGAGTCAAGGTGCCAATCAGGACTCCTGGCTGAAACTGGCACAAGGCGGCTCAGGTCCAGCTTGGCAACCATCATTTTCCAAATTTCTGCTGTGCTGTGTTTACCAGCCAGACTACATACATAAGAAATGAGATGACATTTTTCTAAGCAGGGCGAACAAGCTGAGCTTGAGGGACTTGAGTAAACTGCTCAGGGAAAGCACAGTCATAGGTCAAGGATTCACTCCTTCTAGAGCTTGTCCTCCATGCTGCCCAAACAAACATACCCGGGGAAATGAATGAGGACTGACCTCTTGCTGCTGGAAGACATCTGTGTACTTTCCCAGGCCCAGCTTGCTGAAGAGCTCCGGCAGGTCAGAGCCTTTGAAAGAGCTGTTGAGGTTACAGCCGTTGCTTCCCGTCAGCGAGGAGATGCAGTCCATGTAATTGCTACTGCTGAGATAGTGCTCCGCTGCAAGGCAAAGGAGAGACGGGCTGCCAGTGTGAACACCCAGAGGGACCACGCCTTAATCCAAAATCCTAGTCACCCAGATATTTCAGATTTCACTGTCCTGTGGGATAGAGCAGCAGCTGTAAAAATACAGCCATCCTTTACTGAAAAGTTGGCTTTCCATTAAGGAAATGCTGGTGACTGCTTTCAGGGAGGCGCCTGCCATTTAACAGTGACACTGGGGAGGCAGACATCAGGAACAGTGCCTCTATAGCCGTTCTTCATCATCTCCCTGAGTGTTACACAGCATTCACTGTGAATTAAGGGAGGGACAGGAAGGAGAATCCCTAGGACACAATGAAGGGGTGGGAAATGACAGTTCCATCCAGGACTGCCACTGGATGCTACCAGGGTGGCTCTCAGTGCCCATACAGTCAAGGAATTACACAATATTGCAACACACAAGGCTCATCCGCTAGGAAAATACAACTGGGCAGCAAGAGCACAAAATCGAGCACTTTCAAAATAGAGTTATGTGTGGAGTGATGCTGCTATTCGTGGATTTCATTTATGACAGAAAGTAAGCTTTCTCTTCTGGGAAAGTCCAAGAGAGAATTCTCAGGCTTGTTTTGGCTCTCTGAGGGATCTGATGGGCAAATGTGTCAACATACTTATGCCCAGTAACACGCAAGGCTGGGTGATGGGCTGCTGACCAACACCAAGCACGTCACCAAACACACACTTTCCCGTAAGTTCTAGCAGAGTCCTGTAGCCACTTCTGCCATCCTGACCAAAAACTGGCTCTCGTCAGTATGCTAGATCTGTGTTCTGACATCCTGACAGCAGCTGCAGGAGGCCCCCAGAGGTGAAAGCAGAGAAGGGAACACAGCAGAGCCAGTCACACCCTCCAACCCAGCCAGGATCCTGACAGATGCCAAGTCCAAGAATATGGTTTTTAGTTCTCAAAACTATTCGTTTTCGCCTCTCAACTCACAAATCGTTTGTTCATCCCAAATAAGGAATTTCTTAATAAGGTTTCTTTTTCTCTAACAGCTCTTTTAGCCCTTGGAGAAAGTGTGGAGGTAAGGGCCCAGAATGAAGCAGAGCCTGAAACAATGGTGTCCTTCCCAAGGACATAGAACAAAGCTTGAAAGCTGAACATTCAATGCAGCAGGCATTAGCAACACACGGCTACTGGGCACCTGAAAGGATGTCCCATTGGTATAACACGCTGCATATTTTACAGATTTTATAACAGAAAAGTAAAATAACTTCATTGTTTTTATATAGATCATATATTTAAAAGAAATATTCTACATGATATGTTAAAGCACGGTACTAATTTTTAAAATAGATGTTTAAAACTAAAATACTCTTTATGGTGTCTGCAATGGCCCATAACTCTTGCATTTTTTGTCTCGGCTACTATAGTCTATATTCTTCTAAATTCCCTACATTCTTAATACATCTTACAAAAGTCTAATAACAATGCTTAATTTGTTGTTGTTGTTGTTCATTTGAGAGAAACAGTGATTCCATCTGCTGCTTCACTCCCTAAATACCCACAATAGATACTGGGAAGAAGCCTAAGCTGGGAACTCAATGCAGGTTGGCCAAGTGGGTGGCAGTAACCCAAACATCAGCCATTGCCTATCTCCCAGTGGCTGCATTAGAGAAAGCTGGAACTGGCAGTCACAGCCAGATCTAGAACCCAAACGCTCCTATACGGGATGTGGGCATCCTCACCAGCTTATTAACCAGGGCAGGTCAAGTTCGTACTATTCTGTCAAACTGTATTTTTGCTTAATGTATTTGAAAGGCAGACACAGAGAAAGACAAACACACACACAGAGAAAGAGACAGAGACACAGAGAGAGAGCGAGAGCGCGAGCAAAAGAGATCTTCCATTCACTGGCTTATGGCCCAAACCATGACAGATAGCGCCTGGCCAAGTGAAAACCAGGAGACCAGAACTCCAACCAGGTCTCCCATACGAGTGACAGGGGACTATCTGGGGCCATCACCTATGCTCCCAAGGCAGCAGGACTGGAAGCAAAGATGAGATTTGAACTGAGAGACTCCTATGCAGGATGGACACTGCCCAAGTGGAATCTTAACTGCTGTACCAAACACCCCTGGATAACCTCTTTGTGGTAAATCAATCCCCACATCCTCATCCTACAATTCAGCTAAGTAATCAAGTCAGTTTTAATTATCCAACAGTAAATTAAGAAAAAAGAGATAAAGACAGAAAAAAAGGCTCCAAGCTGATTCCCATGGTCCCACAGACCAGACATTTACACCCATCATTCAAGGCTGGCACCGGGCTGGCTCTCAGCTCAGTCATGTCGTCAGCAGAGGGGCAGACAGTCAGCAGTTAACAGAAGTCTCCAGGCTACGAGCAACCCTACACTTGGGAATAAAAGACTTCAGAGTGTTTTGTCATTTAGACTTGGCCAACAACACGAAGGATTTTTTTAAATCTTAGACCCATGACAAACAAGGCTGACTTGATGGACGGCATGACTGGCTGTTACCAGGTATCTCCCACACTCATCTAGATTGCCTCTCTTCAAGTACTCTTCAGATACTCCACACTGTACGTGTCACAATTCCGAAAAAGCCTGCAAATGGCAGTGGGGACAGATCTAGTGATGACAGTGGCAGTTCTCACCTAGCTATTTATACAGCTCAGAGGGGAGGTGCTTTCACAGGCCAAACACTGAAGTCCCACACAGATTTGACTAAACTTGCTCAGAAACAGACCCACCCCCCAGCTCTCTGCTTTAAATCAAAGCTTTGCCTTCTATTTACACTGTCAGCTAAACCTAGTCAGTTTTTAAAAATTACATCCTGCTCTTTCCTTTTGGCAGCTACCCATTGCATAGTCTTCAATTTTGTCCAAGGGGTTAACTTTTAAAAAAAGATTTATTTTATTTTTATTGGAAAGGAAAATCAGATTTATGGAGAGAAGGAGGGACAGAGAGATCTTCCAGTAGGAACTAGGAGCTTCTTCCATGTCTCCCACATGGGCACAGAGTCTCAAAGTCCCAAGGTTTTGCACCATCCTCCACTGCTTTACCAGGCCACAAGCAGGGAGCTAGATGGAAAGTCAAGCAGCTAAGACGTGAACCAGTGCCCATATGGGGTCCTGGCACTTGTAAGGCAAAGATTTAGCTATTGAGAGACTGCACTGGATGCCCAAGGGGTTAAATTTTTTTTTTAAGAAGATTTATCCATTTTCACTGGAAAGGCAGACATACAGAGAGAAAGAGATACAGAGAGAAAGATCCTACATCCACTGATTTAGTTCCCAAGTGGCTGTAATATTTGGAGCTGAGCCAATCCAAAGCCAAGATCTAGGCACTTCTTCCAGGTCCCATGTGGGTGTAGAGTCCCAAGACCTTGGGCTATCCTCCACTGCATTTTCCAGGGTACAAGCAGGGAGTTGGATGCCAAGTGGAGCAGCCGGAACATGAACCAGTACCCACATGGGATCCTGGCACATGCAAAGCGAGGATTTAGTTGCTGGGCCATTACACCAGCCTGGGGTTCATTTTTTTAAAAAAATATTTACTTGGACAGCAGAATACAGAAAGAAGAGATAGAGACTGAGAAAGAGAGAGAATCTTCCATCTGCTGGTTCACTTTCAGATGGTCATGACAGCAAGACAAGACTAGAGCCAGGAGCTCCCACACAGGTGCAGGGACCCAAGTATTTGGGCCACCCTCCACTGCTTTCCCAGGGCATTAGCAGGGAACTGGGTCAAAAGTGATGTAGCCAGGACTGCAGCAAGCATCCATGTCCATATTGGATGCCAGCACTGCAGGCGGTGGCTTAACTTGCTATGCCACATTGTAAGCCTCCCAATGGATTAATTTGATCCTACTGATTTTCAGTGCTTTCTCACATACTTGCTTTTCCTTGACATTCAAATATCTGTGTGTGCATGACTCACTGGCTCTGCTCACATTAATGTGACACTGTCCTATGGGGTATGGAACTTTCTGCCAGGCATTCAGGGAGAAATAACACACAAGGCTTAGTTTAAAAGAATGCCTGTCAAATGAGTACTTTCATGGATGTCCATCAAATCAATGACCCCTGGGTTATAGGGATGTAGTCTCTATAGGTAAGTACACAACTGCACACTTAAGGGTAAGTGCCGGAGAGAAAGCAGATACAACATGCAGTGAGAAACAAGAGCTCAGTGCTCAGCTTCACTGGAGTAAAGATGGATGGTTTACAGGAAAGATTGCCCATGAGTTATGCCCAGCACTGGGCATCACACAGAAGAGCTAAGTATAACACCATCCCAAACCAACTTTCACAGCTTCTGCCAACAAGCGTGAGTAAAGTCACAGCTCACTTGATTTGTTTTGTTTGCGCTTGGGGCTGCCGATAGAGGCTGCAAATTCACTATGACTTGCAGGTCCTACTCCATTTCGGTCTCTCCAGTTGTCCGATTCGCTTCCACTTCCCAAGTGCTCTCGACTGCTGGACCGTGACAGAGACATTGAGGAGCCCTGTAAACAGTCAAAGCCAGACAAGACAACGCTTCATAAGCTAGGTTTCTCAGGTTCAGCAAAGAATCCATCCCATGTCATCTCCTTTGACTGTTACCTGTGCAACTACCTGGACTGGCTGAAGGACTGTCGGTTGTCTTTCTCTACACTCTTTGGTTGGATACACAGCGACTTCCTTCCTGCTCCTGTGGGAGGCTGACTCTAGGGGTTATGCAGCAGGGTCTGAGAGCCCTCCAGCAAAGAATCCCTCTTTTGAGCCATGGACAACTACATGCCGAGACCTCTCCCTGCTTCCAGAAATCTACCCTCTGGTATGGCAGACTCTCTGCCCTGAATCATGCAAGAAGGATAAATGGAGATGAGGCACGGGCAGACCCAAAGTTCTGAGAAAGATTGCGTTCCTGAGGTGTTTTAAAATTTTCATGGAAAATGCAGTTATGAGTTTATTTTGTTTTAAAAAAATCCATACGTACCTTCTTTGTAATACACATTCATTATGAACATCTGAAGGATTCTCCTAAGTGTGGCTTTTAAGAACTGCTGGCACCCCACAAGCTGACCTTTTCATTCCAGCTCCCACGTGCCTCTGGAAGTACCCTCAGAGTGGGAAATAGGGAGAATGACCTAACATTTCCATTATGGTGTCCTCTCCCAGCGAGTATACAATCTCTCCAAAACAAGACACCTGAAATAATTTACCTTTAATTCTCCAAAAAAACTTAAAAATACCTCACAATGTGCACTAAACTTGCATTTATCCATTACCTTAACCACATATTCAATTATTCAATACCAGAACCATGCTCATGGTAGTACAGGCACCCTACTTTGTACTATCTGGCATATCAAAGTCAGGATTTGCCAACCTTCAAAGCTGTGTATTCAGTGAGAATTCCGAGAGAACTCTTTACTGCTCACTTTGATAAACTCAATTCAGTCTCACAGCAGTGTAAGCTCTGCTCACCATTTTCAACTGTAAACACTCCATCTTCAAAGCATCATGACATGCTATCTGTCTGAATCCTCTGCAGGCTCTGTTTTCACTATAGGCATCAGATTACCCTATGGTTTGGCTCTAGGACCCCTTTTCTCTCCGTATATTCTCTCATTAAGTAATCCCTATCTCCTTCATGGCTTAATGCCAGCAGTGACTCCCAAATTTCTACAAATGTGATTGTTCTGTTGAAATTTAGAATCACAAAGCTACTGATCTGATCTTTCCATGATACTGTCTGCAAGGATCTGAAACTGATCCCCTGTTGATTCCCAAGCCCATTCATCTCTAGGAATCCTCTATCGTAGCAAGTGACTGCTCTACCATTCACCCAGTTACTTTGGCCAGAATTCTAAGGGACATGCTTGATCTCCCCATTCCTCACACATCTAACCCAGGTCCGCAGTTTCTATCAACATCATCTCTAATCACACCCTGCATTTCCTACTTGTATCAGTGTCCACCACTGTCACCAACTCTCTCCTGAATGATCATTTTGATTCTACTCCCCTCTCCTCTCCCATGAGAAATTTTCAGAAAAAAAAAAAAGGCAGTGAGATTGGATTTTTAAACGAAAATTTGAATGCAGCATCCACGTCAGGTACTGCACCACATTTCCATCACACTGTACCCCAACTCCGTGCTAAGTGCCAGCATCCCCCGGCCTTGTCATTCCGCCTCATGAGCTCACCAGCTTGTTCCGACTTTGGGATGATCACACCAGCCATGCCCTTGGCCTCTATTATTCTTTTCCAAGATGTTCACAAAGCTAGCTCTTTGTTATCCTTCGGGTTTTAGCTAAAAAGTCAACTGCTCATCTGATCTGCTCTGAGACTGCAGAATCTAGTGCAGCCTCTGCTTCACATTTCCCACCCAAGCCTTCAGGTTCACCTGCGCTGCTTCTCCCTACTCACCAGAACGGTGCTTTCAACACAAAGGGTGCTTAATATTTGTACAACTACTAAACAAATCACAAATCTTTCCTTCTTGGCATCGATAGGAAGCTGCTGCTGACTTTTAGGGAGAGAGATATAATGAATTCTCTTGAGACCACAAAAATGGCTTTTGCAACGAAAATACCTATAACTAAGATTAATAAAAAATGGAGCAGAGGAAATAAGATGCTGAAAATTGGCAATTTGGAAAGCATTACTTTATCACGACGTGACATTTATGTATTTAACATGTATAACTAACCACTTATCCAAGATTTTGGCTGATTTAACTCACACAGCTATATTCAACTACACTCCATATGGTGGTATCTAGAAACAGTAAGTAACTAGTAAATATCACAAAATTATCTATGAATTAACATAAAATACCTACAAAGACAATGCCACCTCAACTCTGATTTGTAAGATTTGAAGCACGCACTGCTTGTTCAGGCGAAGTTGAAACCACCTTTGATTCCCAGTGCACCTGTTCGCTTGCCCCCAAGAATGCGTGACCACTACTTATTTTTGAGATGTTTAGAACAAAAAAGAAAACAAGGAGAATCTCCATCCTGCCTGTACTTTTGTTGCTGTGACCCACGTGCTGCAAGTCACAGCCTTTTGTTTGACATTTGATGTCCCATCAAGTGCATGAGAACACATTGTTGAGTTGTGAAAAAAGCAAAAAAGCAATCTTAAAAGCACACGTTTTAGAAAGGGCGTATTTCTCAAACCACCCTAAAACTAGAAGCATTTGCTCAAGTCTAGTGTCTCAACAGTATTAAACACAGAACTCCAAGTATCACATTCTTGCCTCAAGCAAACTTTCTGCAGCAGGAAACCTTGGGCCCTGGCATACTGAGCAGGCTGCTCTCACAAGTCAGGACCTGATGGTGAAACAGGTTTTCCCTTTTTTAATAGATATTGTTCATCTGGTCTTATTTTTCCCTTGGAAAAAAAATGTTAGGAAAAGGAAGCTATTTATAGCTGCTCTCCAATTTAATATATTATTGCTTAAAAAAAAAAAAGGACTTATGGAACCAGCATTGGGGCATAGCATGTAAAGCTTCTACCTGTGATTCTGGCATCCTACACAGGCACTGGTTCATGTCCCGGCTACTCCACTTTCAATCTAGCTTGCTGCTACTGTCTTGGGGAAAGTAATGAAAGATGGTCAAGTGTCTGGGCCCCTGCTACCATTGGGAGACAGGCTGAAGCTCCTGGATCCAACATGGCTGTTTTCATCATTTGGAAAATCAACTAGTAGGTGGAAGACTCTCCCACTCTGCCTAACTTTTTCAAATACATACATGCATCTTTTTCAAAAATATTTATTTTACTTGAAAGGTAGAAAGACAAAGAAAGAACTTCCATCTGCTGATTCATTCCCCGAATGCTTCCCCCATACCTGAGACTGAGCAATGCCAAAAACAGGAGCCAGGAATTCTATCAGTGTCTCCCATGTATTGTGGAACGCAAGCTAGAAGCAGAGATGTGATCTTGTTGATTTGTTTTTTGTTTCAAATAAAAACTGTTCCATCCCACTTCTCAGATACTCACTGCACTGTTTTGAATCCCTCTGAGTCAGGGCAGAAGACAGGGAAAGACATACACACTGCAGGTAGCAACTGCCATAACAAATGACCACATTCTGTGAGAGGCTCTCCCCTTCCATCACAGTGCACGTGAGGCGGATGAGAAAAAGACCAGGTTCTATCAACCAGAGAGAACCCAAAACATCAGCCCTAAGGAAACCTTGGTCCATTCTTTCCATCAGCAGTGAGAAAAGGGGTAGATCACACAGCCAAGGCTGCTTTCCCTGTCCCATCATTAAGTGTCAATGGGTTGCTAGTTGGTGGTTAAAATGGTGGAAGAGGCTTGCCTAAGATAACCAAAGCAGCAAATGCCACAGGCAGAGGCTGAACCAGTCAATGTCCACACACATTGGACCTATGTCTGCCTAGCCTAGGACAAAAGCCAGGGCTAAAGTTCTCCTGGCCTCCCCATGGTAGAAGGGCCATTATAGGACTGCTTCCTGAACACCATGTACATCAGAATCTCTTGCTGAAAACAGACCACTGATTTTTACTCCTGACCTGCTAAATGAGACCCTAGAGGAAAAAATCTGCATTTTTATCAGACATTTCTTATTCCCACAAAGAGTGACAACATGACTCTACTTCAATGAGTTAAACTGTTAAGAAGAGGAGAAAGACACTGTCTAAAATGGACTTGAGTCCATTCTCTGACACCTACTGACCATTACATTCAGGACGACCCTAGAACAGTCCAGGATCCTCTTTCCACTCTGGGTGCTTGTGTAAACTGCATAAACCCACATATGAAATTTACCTCATACACCACCCCCAACTACGTGAATTTAATATTATTGCAACCATCTTATGTGTTTACAGAATGCTCTAGAGTGTTCCTTGGGAAACGCAAAGTAGAAGTAGCTTGAAGATGCTGGGACATAGCACATAAACAATCTTACCTTTTCAGCCCCAGCTATTACTCAGGGTAAAGGTCTCCTACTCGACATTCCTAAGAACTTACTGTGTCCTTCGGTAGGCACTGGATGTCTCTGAGGGTTTCCTCGGCACAACCCAAGTGAAAAGACAAGCCCATAAGAGTGGAGTTACCACCCAAAGCAACACATCCGGGCCCTGACGCTTCTCACGCCCTAGAGTTTTGCACCTCACCACGATGTTACCGATACAATCCTCATTTTCAACATGTTATGTGGATAGTCTGGGAAGAAACAAATGAGCATCTCTCAAGTTAAATATCTCATCTCTAAAACTAGGGGGAGGGCGAACAATCAACATCCTAGAACCTCCTTGAACAGCAATGCTGAGTTAAATGGTCTCCAACAGGCTACTGCACTATCAAGATGTAGGTTGGAATGGCAGTTTGGAAGTCTCTGCTAACAAAAGGAAATTTCTGCTTTTGCTCACAACACTGTTGGCGTAAGGGGAAAGCTGCCTCGTACAACGTGCACATTTTCATATTGCTTTTAGCACTGCTGCTGCTGAAGGTAACTTCTCTGTAACCACAGTCCAACTGGTGGCCACTGCCATCTCTGATGGCAAAATCCATGGGAGACTATTCTTTTTAGTATTTCAACTGTATTTTCTTTCTCACTTTCTCAGAGAGATGGAAGAGGGAAAAATAGCATGTTTGCCTTTGTTTTTCCCCAACAGTCTAATTTATTAGAAGGAACATGGGTGGAGGAAACAGTCCAATCTACAAATGTTAGTCACTAGATTAACAATTACGAAACATTCAACCCCTGTTTGGTTTTTAGCCTACAACTCTCTGGTTGAACTCAGTGACTCCTGGGATAATTGTTTTAATCCATATTTCCATTTGTACACCCTACCCGTGTGTAGGAAACATACAGGTGGCTCTCTAGGTGACCCCATCCCCTGACTCCCATAAACTTGTGCAACTAACATCCAACACCCTGACATAGAAAAAAACCTGCTTAGTGAGTCACAAGTAGTTTGGCTGGGACCTATGGAATTCTGGATCCCTCAAGCACATGGCAAAAAACGCCAGCTGCCCAGTCTCCCTGCTGAACAGTGCAGCCAACATCTGGGAAGCATAACAATTTTGGAACTCTTGTTGGAGATACTTCCTGCTGTGTTTTTTGGCACCTCTGAGGACACTGAATTTTTAACTCCTATCTGAAAATCTGTTTTTGTTGAGTATTTGCCTTTTTTCCCTATGGTGGTCTACCTATTGATACACTTGGACACAAAGAGCCTTTATAGGTTCTTATAGACTACAACATACTCCCTTTCCTTCATCTCAGGCATACTCTATAATTTATAGAGTAATACTCTCCTTTAACAAAACCACTCTTATCCATAGAGAACCGTGGCAGAAAACTGGTAAGAGACTATAACATGCTACAACTCCAACAAATTATAATAATATGTTTACAGAAACAGACAATAAAAGCGAGCTACCGACCATCACTTTTCGTAATAAAGAATGGAAGGAGGAGGAAATGAGGGTCCTGTATTGATGCCAGAATAGACAGGAAGTACAGGCCATGACTCTACAAACCTCGTAAGTGGTTGTCATTGTGGGTTTATAGGACACGTGGTTAGCTCTTCTCAGCTCCTTGATAGTCTCAGCTGGCATAGATTTCGAAAATCCCAGGCCACTCCAAGTATTGGTGGGCGTTCTGACCTCTGTCACAACTGGTTTCTTTAACATTGCTTTGGAAAACAGAATATAAAGCAAATGCTTGTTATGCTTAATTGACTGAAGTAAATACTAATAATGTATGTTGCTTCATGGACACATGTGAAATTATCAGTACTACTTCTTAACAAAATGCCTAAAATATCTTAATAAAATATGCTAATAGTAAATGCAAAAATACTGTATGTATTCTCTATTGACCTAATGCTAATCTACTCAACAGAATACATTCAATATCAACAAAAGATATACAGTTTAAAACTAAACATTCAGGGTTTCTTTTCATGAGCATTTGGTTTCTTAATTTATTAGAAATACTCAAAAATCATTTGTGATTCAATTAAAATATAAAGTGTGATCATTACTGTATCATATACCTTTGGTTGCAAGCAACTTCTTCTGTTCGTAGTCAAAGGCCTAAAATTTAAAAGGAGAAAATATTTTCATTGCCAAACTCTCTAAATGCCATGCAATACTCATGACAATGGTTCCAAAACAAAGGTTCTAACCATGTCCCAAAAACATCCCTAAGACACATGCTAAGCTAACTCAAGTCTGATTTACACACTTTCAAAATTATTACAAATGAACACTTTCGAACATTAAGACATGGCAGAGAAACGAGTTAGGACTTTTTTTCATAAAGAAGTTCCTTTACTTTGAATCTCCACCAAATCAGGACCCAAATGCACTAAAGTGATGCCATTGCTACAGTCCTCCGCTCCACCAGCTGAGCTACCGAAGGGCATGTAAAGTGACACCATTTCTAAACACACCAAAATGCTGTCAGTTATCTGTTGGCTTCCTCTGTGTTTCAAGACCCTTCTTCATCTGGTATCACCTGAAAAGGTCTGATATCAAGATAACATAAAAAATTATGAAGCCTGATTGGCACAATCTTTGCTTTTGAAGTGAGATAAATAGCAAAATATTTAACTTTTATAAAGCATGTGGCAATACAGTTTCATTAAACCTAGTTATCTTGTTGTGCAGAGGAAGGCATCATCAATTCCATTAACAGTGTGCAAAGCAGTTAGATCTATGTAGGCACTCTAGGTACTTTGCAAAAAAGTAGAGGAGATTATGTGGCCACATCTCATTCATCTGGTAGTATCATCTCCCCACTGTGGCTGGGACCTGATGTAAGGAGATCTCAGGGCCAACAAAGAGCGTCAAGAATCAAGTGACAAGAGCTCTTTGCTCCTTCTCTCAGGAAACCACACGATTGTATGGAAGGTATCCACATAATTTATGGTCTAAAACAGGATCCTTCTGAGATGAAATGAGTTGTGATTAATTAGGCCAGGTACAAAAGGAAACAGTGGTGTCCTGCACAAACCTGGCTATCTGGCCATCAGAATGCCCAAAGCGTAGCCCTAGTTCAGAGGGAGAAAAAGATTTTTGGATAAAACAGCTTGATGATTTTTTTTTACGTCTTATGTCTAAAATGGCATTGGGAGTTCAGCTTTTAATTATTCATTTATAGGGACAAGGTGTGGGGAGGACCTAAATTCACCTGTTCAAAAGTGCTCACTGCATTCTACTGGTTAAAAACACTGTGCTCAGTTTAACAACAATGAACCCATGATCACCAGCAGTCTCAATGACTTACAATTACAGAAGGTCGGACAGAAAAATAGCTATAAAATAGGAACTGCGTTAAATGAAAGAAAGCTGGAGAGATGACACACCATGAGCAGCCAAGAGAAAGATCCCTGCTCCCTGCAGAAACCAGGGAAACCTTTCCTGTTTCTCCCTGTCACTGCTCAGTGACTGACACATCAATTTCAGAGTGATTGTAAGAGTGAACTACTCACTGTTTTTACACACAGACATCTACCTATGTTAAAACTCCATCATCAAGAATGTTCTCATCTACCCTATTAGCAAATAAACATGAAATTGGCTTCCACTACGCGTCTGATGGAAAAGAACACCAAATGGACAGAAAATATAAGGAGATTTGATATTTCTTAAATGAGAGGCTTTGGTTTACAGTGACCCAAAACAAGTCTATCAGAGAAAATGTAACGGAAGTTTTTACAAAGACACACCATGAAGACTATGGCTTTTGTGAAAATACTTATCTGGAAACCCACACAAATATTCAAATATAAAAAGGATTAAGAACACACAAGGGGGGCCTGGCATGGTGGCGCAGTGGTTAAGGTCCTCGCCTTGCACGCCCGGGATCCCATATGGGCGCCGGTTCTAATCCCAGCAGCCCCACTTCCCTTCCAGCTCCCTGCCTGTGGCCCGGGAAAGCAGTCGAGGACGGCCCAAAGCTTTGGGACCCTGCACCCGCGTGGGAGACCCGGAAGAGGCTCCTGGCTTTGGATCGGCATAGTATCGGCCGTTGCGCTCACTTGGGGAGTGAATCATTGGACGGAAGATCTTCCTCTCTGTCTCTCCTCTCTGTATATCCGCCTTTCCAATAAAAAAATAATAAAATAAATCTTAAAAAAAAAAACAAAAAAAAAGAACACACAAGGGGACCAGCCATGTGGTATAGCAGAATAAGCTATTCCCTGTGATTCCAGCATTCCATATGGGTGCTGGTTCCAGTCCCAGCTGCTCTGTTTTTGATCCAGCTCAGTGGAAGAAGATCCAATTTCCTTGGCCCCTACATTCAGGCAGGAGACCTGCAGGAAATTCTTGGCTCCTGCTTTGCCCTAGCCCAGCCCTAGTTGTCTTGGTCATTTGGGGAGTGAACCAATGTGGGGGAGATTTACTTTGATTCTTAAATAAATGCTTAAACACCACACACATGTACAAGAAGAACTGAATAAGTCTGTGTGGGAGTTATCATAGTATCATTTAGTTCCATGAATTAATTTTTGACGTATTTATGAGTTTTTTGGGGAAGGAGTGGTTGTAGGATTTTGTGAAAAAAGAAAAAGTTCTTTCGCATTTCTGGAGGTGAAAGGATGAAGTGATAACTCTGTTACAATGACAAGGTTAAATCTACCCAGTAATTCTGATGCTGAAATCCAATGTTTATAGGAATCTCTAAAAACATTATGCATAAAACTCTTATTTTTCATTTTGTGATGTACATGGAAATTAGATTTCTGAATTTCATGGCCAATATTTTATTTTGAGTAATTAGCCTAACAGCTTTAAAATGAAGACAAAGGAAGCCTTCATGGAAAAAGTTTTTTTAAATAATCATGAAAGCCTATGAACCAACACAATCATCAATAACACTCAACATCTCATTCAAAGAACTAAAATCTCACACTGCTTGTTTTCATAGCTATCTGCAAAATGGCACCAAATAAATTTATCACCTTCATTTCATAGATGGCATATTATATCTATTTATCCAAGATTATGCCATGAGGCAGTAATACTACTAACAGTCTGTTTTGCATGACATTTTTCTAACAGCTGAATTATGTTATCTGCATAAGATACACAGACACAGATCATTTCATGCCATTTTTAATATACTGTTTAAAACAGTTCTTTTCACTTACGCTAAATCCTGCACTTCAATGCTGATAGCAAAACCAATTCTTACATACTGCACATATATTTTAATTTCCTCCTGACCAGAGTACAGAGGGAAAACCCAATTTCTGAATCACTGTCTGCTTCACACTCGACTGAACACACTGAGCACACCCCTCTAGGTGTGAATGCCCTTCTCGGGTAACCGCCATTACCTGCATGTTGATGTACGCTGGCCGTGGGGCAAGGCGGGCCCTGTCCGAGTTGTGCTGGGCGGCAGCAGCCCTCTCAGCGGCACGCTCACTCCCAGGAGCCTTCTTGTCAGCCAGAGGGCTTTCTGCAGCGCTCAGTTCTGGGTCTGAGAGCAACCTGTCTGTGCTGCTGTGAAACAAATTGTGGAACTTAGCAACCCAGTATGGTGGAAACCAACATCCCACATGTCCCACGGCTGAGGACTCTAAGTGTATTCTGTCTCTTAATTCTCACCGCAAAGATAGGACGCACGTGCTCCTGCCATATCCCTATGTCATAGATGACCTTTTCAAGGTCACACCTCTCATTTGAATGAGGGAGGCAGAAATCTGAATCAGGCAGGCATTCTGACTCCAGCACTGAGCTCAGAACAGTTTCTTGATGTATATTCATATATATTACATATAGCATATATGGTATTTTGTATATGGCACAGACTGAATAAACGTACAGAAAACATTTCTAGTTTTTATAGTGCAAAGAGATATCAATGATGCTTGTATACAAAGTCTAAACAGACTGAATTGATCTGAAGCTATGTGAACAATGTAACCATAATACATATGTGTAAAATGCATATGACACCGATAAAAACCTTTTCCAAAGCCTACGTAAGAGGATGGGCAGGCCATGAAAGTCCTAACACTGAGCAGTAATGACCTTTTTTATAACATTTATTATATACAGGGGATAAGCATCTCAAGTTCAAATCCAGCTATAGGACAGGCTCAGATATATAAAAAAAAAAAAGATATACATAAAAACTGACAATCAAGGAGCCGACTGATTTATCTGCTCACAGTCTGACTCATCCAACTATTCCAAAGTTGTGCCAGAGGAATTTAGAAAAGGTTACTGGAGAGCAAGAGGAGAACAGTGCTTTTTGCTTGACAGCCATCAACAGAAGCCTCACACACAGCACCTGAACCACGAATTAAAGGGCATTTGTAAGTTTATTGATGCCAAAGGCTGGGACAACAGCGACTATGAGGGAAGAGCCTATGTAATGAAGTATCCAGTTCATACTAAGTTAGGTTTTAAGCCACAGTGTGACAAGATCAAACTCTTGTGCAAAAATGACTGAGTTGAGGAGAGATGCCCCCTCGGGAGGTAGCAGCTTAATCCAGATGGGAGATGGTGATAAGCTTTGATACACACACACACACACACACACACACACACACACACACACACACACACACAATGATGTTATTGAAAGGATTACACTTTATCTCAAATGCTTTGAAGAAATCAAAAGATTTTTTTTTCTGAGTTAAAGACCATTATTTTGGCAAACTGAAGTCTTGTATAGACAAAGTGGAAGTGGACAAAATGAGAGTAATCATAACTTAAATAACCAAAACATTTATAAAATAAAAGACTTTCATTAAGAAATGAAGAGCCTTAGACTGTACTTGCTAATCTTTGCCTAAAGACACTTTAAATATAGAGAAGGAACTAACAAGCAGAACAGACAGAACTGGGCAAATGCAGACGGCTGAGAGCAGAACCTTCCATGGCAGAAACCACCAAGCGAACCAAAAACAGGGCAGCAGAAAGTAAGACTGAAATACTGGCAACTGCTGTGATAAGGGGAGTCACATTTCACACAATTCATCTACTACTATTTGGTATTATTGCTAATAAAGAAAATCATGACATTATCATGTACTTATAAAAAGTTCAAAATTAACTAATTTGGAAAAATGGAACCATTGCTCAAGAAAAAAAATGGAAAGGCAAATGGGGAATTCACAATGGGAAAATGTCAGAGAGCAAACATCAGGATAAACATTGCCCATGCTAATTACTGAAGAACAGAGAGAAAGTTTCCTTTCAATACAGATGGTATAGAAGATGCAGATACAAACTTCACCAACCACACTGAAGAGGGACTACACAGAAGATGGGAAAGGGTGAACATCATCACACAACATTCCTTAGTCAAATTATAAAAGAAAGAACAAGATAAAAAAAAAATAAGCCACCAGTGGGGATGCACTTATAACTCACTGAGTGGGACACAAAGATTAGTTACTCCTCACTAGGGTATTGAAGATTTCTCTGCACACCCCTCCTAAAACTGTTCACCTAAACTGTTGACATACGTCTTGTTAGAGTTACAGAGTTAGACTACCCGAAAAACAGCCAGGTTCTGCAAAATCATGCTTCAACGCTATAAACTGCTAAATTTAAAATAGACATGAGACAGCTGAATAGTAATCCATAGCCATTTTAAGGTGTATAGAACCCAGGTGTATATAAACTAATAATTGTAATGTCAATGTAGAAGTCATAGGATGTGGTTCAGAACTTGCACTCTTTTTTTTTCTTTGAACATGCTGGTTACACAATACCATGTCAACTAATTCCATTATGTTATAAATTGTTACTGCTGTGATGTTGGGGCTTTTAATTGATTGGGATGATACTGTCGACTCTACCTTCAGACCAGAGACGGTCTCCCCATGAAACTGTTGAACTTATCTGGACAATAAGATGCTGGAATCTATGCTTTGTAGATGCTTGCAAGCTTTCCTTTCAATCTCGACTGAATTTGACCTTTGGTAATGCAACAAGATGGAAGAATCCACCATGGGGGGGAGCGGGCTTTGGGGAGGGGAGGGGAGAATCCAAGTGCCTATAAAACTGTGTCACATAATGCAATGTAATCAATTTAAAAAATGCAAAAAAAAAAAGCCACTGAAGAGATCCAATCTGACTTGAACCAGAGTACTGACTACTGACTTAAATAAGCTGAGTCTTCACACCCTTGTTTGCCAAGGCCCAAAGGTGTTTAAAATTGAAATACATACTGCAAGTGTGAATTTTTGGTGCCCTGCAGGAGTTCTACTGTCTGCCTCTTGGCACAGGAAACCTTGGAGTGACCCATCATCTGCTTCAAGTCTCCAGCATTCCCAGAATGAGAGGGACTTCGAGGCATGCCAACTTCAACAAAGGCATCATTACAACCTGCACAGAGAAGAAGAACATCATCCCACAGTCGACAGCTGCCGACAATGGAAGGAAATCAGAATCCAGCTAGGGAGATATTAGTAACCTGACAGAATCTAACTCTTCCATTGCGAAGACATTCTCACAAATTCAAGCTGTCACAGCAACCCAATCTGAAAAGACTCTCACATTTTTTAGAAGATAGGGTAAAAAGGGTACATGCAGTAACTCACTTAAGTGGAAAAATATATATTTATATGAATAAGTTTGTACACCCATAGGTTATAGTGAAGTGATGCTTTTTGGCTACACAACTGCATCAACTTAGCAAATTCACATGGAACTGAAGTGATTCTTTCTGGTGCAAGTGCTTTGTAGTTAGTTTTTACCATGCTCTTTGGAATTTCATGAAAAATATTGGTTTTCTACATGGTTAAAGAAGGATGAGCTATAGTTAGAAAAACCAGCTCCCGACCACTGCTCCACAAGTTCCCTTTACAAAAGCAGTAATACAGCAGAACCAAGTTCATGGGAAAAAGTTCCCGACCTTCTGCAGGATTTGACTGGGTGGAAGCTTGCTCAGATCCAGTTGTCTGCATTGATGGGTCACTGTGGTTTGCACTGAGCACTTTTTCTCCGAGTGATGAAGTCGCTATTGCACCATATTTTATATTCAGAGACTGGAATAATAGAAAACAATGCAGAGACATGGTCATAAACTGTCCAGTGTTAGCTCCATTTCAGCTGAAGGTTTAAACAAGTGATCAGCGGCTTATCCCATACAAATAGCAAAGATACATGGTTCCAGAAGAAGGGCATTACCTGTGCATGTCCATTTAAAGAAGCGGAGATTTTTTTGCCTTCATTCTGCATGCTGCTGATATGGACATCGACAGGAGTCAAGCCAGGTGGGGGAGACGGAGCTGTGTGCCCATAGGTGGGTACTCCAGACAGCAAAATATTGGTTAGTGTGGCTTGGGCAGTAGATGGAATCATAAGGTGTGGTATGGCAGAAAAGCCTACAGTAATATTTTATAGAGATAAATATTAGGGGAAAATTCAACCAACAATTGCTTTTTTCACTGACAATTTTAAAAAACCCTTTTTGAGGCTAGTACTTAGTGGACTAAGTCATTGCCTGGGACACTGGTATACCCTATGAGAGTGTGAGTATGAGTTCCAGCTGCTCCATTTGCAATCCAGCTTTCTGCTAATATGTTTGAGAATGCAACAGAAAATGCCTTATGTTTCTGGGCCCCTGCCTCTCAGGAGAGCTCTGGGTGGAGTTCCTGGATCAGGACTTCGGCCTGGTGGGGCTCCTGCAGCCATTTAGGGAGTGAACCAGTGACTGGAAAGCCTTGCTGTTTCTCTCCCCACGTTTCTCTTTATTGCTTTCAAATAAATACATGCATAAATCTTTTTGAAAAACATATTTGTTGCTGTACACTCAGAGAATTTTCATTTCTCTATAATTTAATATCACCATAAAATACAAAAGAATGTTAAAATGAACATTTACTTTGAGCCCCTCACTGTATGGAAGAGGGTACCGGCCAGGTTAATAAGTGCCCATCACCAAGCCAGTTTGCCCAAGCTAGGACCAGTCGGGACTACACTTCCTGGTTTCCAGGTGGGTAGCTGCTGCTTTTCCCTATACTTCATGCTTTTTCCTAGTCTGTTTATTTGAAGATCACATTTCACTCACACCAATAACTCACAGTTTTTGCTGGCTGATTTTGAACTGGTTTTCACTTTAGGAAATCTCTAAGTGCGTTATGCTTACAGCGATTTTTTTTCCCTCATGGAGATGCAACCACTAGTAAAATCTATTTAGAAAATACTACCTACAGATGCATACACCTTAAGGATACCGACCTGTGGCACTTGAAGTATTAGCAAGCGGAGGGGCCCATAATGTGGGGCTGGGGGTGCCAGAACTTGGACTTTGCAAAGGACTGACCGAGCTGTTCAGCGCATTCAAGAGTGAATTTGGAGCTGCTGATGTGTTTAAAGATAAGGTAGTGGGACCCAAGAGACCTGTAACAAACAGATGCTAAGTCAACATACATGAGTTCAAAACTTTAAAATAGTGACAGCACCTATATCAGTATTTGTAATGCTCCATGACATTTGGTTTTTTTCTCAGTGCAAAAATGGATCATAAATTTCTTCCAAAACTTAAATGAAATGCTGCACTCTCAAAGTCCAACGTAAGAACTAGCCTATCTACAAACAGCTGTTAGTCTGACAACAGAAGGCAGATGTGCCCACAGCCAGCCTGCAGTCAGGGTCACTGAGCAGGACCCAGCACTTCGCATTCTCTTCAAGGAGCCAGCGGGAGCAGTGCTGTGCTCACAGTGACTTACCCTTCTCTCTAGTCATCTCCTCCCCAAAAAGACCCTGTCACCCCATCCACACCGAGCAGGGAATAGGGAATGTTTCCCATGTCACACTGCCATGGATGCCAGAGAAATTCTGCATGGAGGCTGAAGTGCCCGCAACAGTTTTTACACATGTGAGAAAGCACAATCATGACTTTTGGGGGCTCCAGTTTGATGACGAAATCTTTTCTCACAAAATAAACATTTTTGTTTCTAGTATTTAGTGCTGGATTTCACTAGTAAAATTTTACTTTGGGAATATAAAATACGTTCTACAATAAAATGTGGATTTGTACGGGGGTTTCCCGAAATGCACATATAAGACATTAAATATTGTGAGAGAGGTGCAACAATGAAAACACATTAAGAATACAGTCGCTATGAATCCCTTCTTTAGCAGAGGACAGACTTGGTCCTGGCAAAGGCACATGAGGTGTAGTGTGTGTCTCACAGCCCTGAGAGCTCATGATTCTGCTCAGGTCCTCATGGTGCGAACCACACTAACAGACCAACGGTCAAAGAAACAGCCCTGCTTAACAGGAATGGGATCTAGGCTTCTTGACCCTGCTGTAAACAGGTATTTTTAAAGAATAGTTACTGAGAAAAAAAATTAAGATTACTGAGAGCGTCTTCTCTATCTCAAGTTAACACAACCTGCTAGGGTGCTGCATTCATTGTTGGCAATAAGGGAACTGGGAACTGTTTACAAAGGCGGGGAACCTGGCTGTTTCGGCCTGCTCAATGGCAGCCCAGAGACCAGGTCAAGACCACCACCCCGGGGACCCCATTTTCTTGAAAAGCAAAAGCATTAAGCTGCTAGCATGTGTTTATCTGCCTTACAGATAAACTCCCAGGTCCAGCCGCACCCCGAGAGCACAGTGCACCCCTCCTTTGTGTCCGGGTGCAGCAGGCCTAACGGCTATGACTAGGCTCTGAGGGTTTGTACGTCTCCCTTTGCCCACCCCCACACAGATCTGCAATTGCTTTTTGAAAAGCAAACCAGATCATCTTTATCTCTGGGGACTGATGGCAATATTGCAAATGCGTGCAAGAACAAACACATAAATTACACTCAGCCTGCACGCTTCAGTCTCAACGACATTCTTAATTGAGAAGAACAAACACATCCACTGAAAATAAGTCAGACCTTGATTATTTATGCCAATGCAGGAAGAATCAGGAAAACCAAAATCCACAGAGTCTAACAAAAAAGCCAAAGCAGATTGATTCAAGTATGGTTGTTTTCCACCAGATCTCAGGAATGAACAAGAAAGAAAAAAAAAAAAGCCTTTACACGCAGACCCCAAGCGGCAGGAAAACAGGGAAGCAGATAAGCATTTCCCCAGCGACAGAGAAACACTGTAATAATAAATTTTATACCTAGTCCAGTGAGTCCAAGGCCTGCTGAAGCTAAGATATCCAGGCTGGGACACGCCAGGCCGGCAGGGCACGACGCTGAGGACGGACTGGTTGCTATGGTAACCCCACTGCTTTCAAGTCCGAGGAGACACTTCCGTGCTTCATACATATTTAAGGCATTTCGCTCAACACTTTTCACAATCACAGACTATGAAAACACATAATGGGGGAAGAAAAAGTGACATGCGAGTAGTCTGCAATGAATGGGGGAAGGTAGGAAATGAATATGCTAATAAGAATTCCACTGTGGGGACAAAGTAATGTGCTTTATCATCAACTGCCAGTTGCAACCACTAATTTCTTCAGTCCTCTTGCAAGGGCGGTAGGTTACTTGCTATGCATTGTGTGCGCGTGTGTGTCTGCACACGTGTGTGTGTGTGTGTGTTTTCAGGCCCTGAGAGACACAGCACACATTCAGAACCTGGGGTGGGACTCACAGCTCGCATCCCGAGAAGCACAGGGGCTCAGCAGCCACCTGGCAGAGCCACGAAGGCAGAGCGAGCTGATGGGCACTCCCGTCCCTCCTAGGCCTAGGCCCCTCTTTGACGAGCTCTTTCCTCCCCCTGAAACCTTCCCTCCCCGATCTCATTTTTCACAAACCAAATCCATAGACTGCACAGCCGCAGTCACGGGTGACAATTATGGCCTATTAACAAACCGGTACAATCACTCCTTTCTTCCTCATTACCACTGTGTTTATGGCCATGTCTACAGTCTGAAAAAAATCTAAATAACAGATCTTTTCTAACCTTGATAGATTCATCTAGGAATTTAAGGAAGGCAGTCCCCAACAGACCATCAAAACAAAACAAAAAGCACCTGTTGGCTAAGAAAATGGCTATCTAGTTCTTTAAGTTTCCTTTTGAATAAGTGGTGACTGTTTTCATTCAGAGACAGTAAATACCATAATACAAGGGGTCTTCAAAAATTTCATGGAACTATGTGTTATGAAAAACCTATACCGGGATTTAAGATGGTTTTTTTTACACCAACATAAATTTATCTTTTAATTTCAGTTTCCACAAACTTATTTTAAGTACCTATATACACAAAAATATATATTATACATATTATATATGCATATGCAACACATAGTAATATATTATATGTAATACACATATAATATAGTATGCATAAATATTACATATATGTATGTGTGTATGTATGGTAAGATTTATCGTTGGGATATTAAAAATTGAAAGACAGAACTATTTGGTGGTTTTTCCTACTAGGTTCAGTCAGGAAACTTGACTCACTCTAGGAACTTTCATTTAATCTTTCCATAAACTTAAGAGTTCCTTTCTGCAAATCCTTTTATACTAAAGAGATTCTTTTGAAACACTGAAAACCAACACTAATACAGTATCTACTACCTAAGGACCCCGATTTAAGGGTTATTTTTTGTTTCTGATTTCTATTGCACTTTCCTGTGCATTTGGCTTGTTCTGCTTTCCTGTCTCAGAGGCAACCCATCACGGATGCAGCATGCAAGATTTCTGGGCCACGCTTCGTACTTGAACCTAGGGGTCCACAGAGGTGACCATGCAGCACCATGCTGTTCCCAGAGCTTTCCTCTGGAAGCAGGTCTGCAGGAAGAACAGGACCCGTGTTCTTAGTGTGAACAGACGGTCCCAGGCTGCTCTTAAAAGTCAACGTAAGAGCATTCTTTGCTCACCTTCTCACTAACACTAAACAGCAGTTCAATTCCTTTCTCTCCACATGTCATTAGTGACATTTTACTAGCATCTTAAAGGAAGAATTGCAAAAAGGCTGAACTGGGGGCAATTCAGCAGTTACAAATTTATTTTTTTTAATGGGCAGTTATTCATTAAATCTGTAGGGATAGTACATTGGCTGGAATCAGCAAATATATTTTGTTAAATGGCACTGGATAAGTACACATGTGTAAGTAGCCTTACCAACTGGTAATTTGGTAACACTGAGGTTTCAGATTACAAATTAACATGGTTTTCTCTCTCATGATTTCACAGAAAAGTAATGGTTACAAAAGAATGAACTCCAAAAATAATTGCAAACTCATATATGTGCAACTAAATGTTCAGCACAAATGTAGAGTATTAAGTCCATGCATATTTTAATATGCACTTGCACGTAACAGACAGCTATACAGACTGTGAAATGCCACTTGACCCAGACTCTGAACTTACCTTGCTTGGCTGCTTTGGCTTTGGTTTAATACTGATGAAGACATCAAGCTGTTCCATCAACTGAGCAATGAACTGGGGGTCTACTTCAATTTCTTCCTTCATGTCAAACATCAATACAAGAGGAAGACAACCCTATAAGACAGTGCACAATAAGAAGTAGTTAACAGTCATGGAAAAACCTGATCATTTACTTTAACCACAAATTTTGCAGTATTTTTACAGATTTTTAAGAGTAAGTTAACTTACTGAAAGTGAAATTACACACATTCTTACAGCTTGGATAATTAGTGTGGGGATAATGTTGAGTGAGAGCAAACTATCTTGGATAACGTCTTAAATTTCTCTTCTGGACCATGAATTCTTTTTTATCCTCTACATCTTGGAAAACTTTTGTCTTTTGACTTCAGTTTTGCAATGATGCTGGAAACCACATTCACAACCACAATAAGTGTAGTAATTGTGTTCACTGTTCAACATCTCATAGTTGTATCTTTCTGCTGAATTCTGAATAAAAACTAAATGTTTATCAGCAACCAACATACTCCACATTTTGGGTCAGCCTTGCTTGTGCCACCACAGATCAACAGGTTTATTACATTTCTTCTTCCCTCTAGGCTAGCACATCTTGGAACTACCTTTTACAACTACTTATTACTTATTTTAAGCTGATTATTTTTTTAAATTTATTTTTCATGATACAGTTCCACAGGCTCAGGGATTTCCCCTTCCACTCTTTTCATTTTCCCCTTCCTATTTTAAGCTTCTAAGGTTTCATTTATTTCTTTGAAAGGCAGAGAAACAGACAGATGAGAGAGAGGCAGACAAGGAGATATTCGCATCAGCAGACTCACTGCCTAAATGCACACAACAGCCATAGATGGACTAACAGGTGAAATTCAACCCAGGTTTTTCATGTGGGTGACAAGAACCCACATGCCTGTGCCATCATCACTGCTTCCCAGGCTGTGCGTGATCAGGAAATGGGGATCAGGAGCCAGTGCTCAAACTGACATCAGACACGAGATGTGGAAATCCCGATCAGAATCTTCATCACTGCACTCTACACCTGCCCATTCAACAACCCTTTAATTATAATCTATACTTTGGTATCTTACCCAGTATCTTCACCAACCCAGGCTCCACTTACCTTCCAATACAGCCCACACAACAGCTCCTCCTTCCTTGAAGTAAGCTACTGTCACTATCCCTTCCGGCAACTATCACATTTTTTTCACCATGGCAGTCTAGGTTTCTCCTTCACTGAGGCTTTCTTTCTAGCCCCTATTCTATCAAACACAGGAATCACCTAACATTTTTCTTTCTCTAATCCATAGGATATTCAGTTCAGTTGCAGTGTACTGATTGCTGAAAGTTTTTGTATATGAGTTATCAGAAGTTACCATTAAATCCACAAGGATTAAAATGAAATACCATGTTCTACTTCTCTTGTGGATAAAAGTGATTTTCATATGGACAGTTCTTTTTTTTTCTCAAGTAATGGTATTTAAACTACAGATGAAAGCCTTTTAATGTATCCTTCACTTCTTTCAATTTTGGCCAACAGTGCCACCGCATACCGATGTTTTGGGCAGGTATGATCATATTGTGAATATGAATGTACAACTGTTCAAATGCTTGAAGCTCACTGAACTCAAAAATAACACCTAAAGAACCAGCAAAAACAGTGAAATATGAAAGCAATTATTACAATCTTGGATTTGAGCATGCTACCTGATAGGCAGTGTATTTAAGACAACCTAAGGAACATCAACACCTTCATTGCATTCCCACCTCTGACTCTTGCCTCCAGCTTGCTGTTCCTGCTGACCCTGGGAAGCAGTGGTACTGGCTCAAATACCAGGGTCTCTGCCACCCGAAGACAGATTCACAGTGAATTCTAGATTCCTGGCTTTGGCATGGCCCAGCCCTGGCTTCTGTCAACATTTGGAGAGGCCAACAGCGGATGGGAGATTTCCTTATATATCATTCTCTCTCCCTCAACACCCAACCCCCATCTCACCACCTCTCAAATTAAAATAATAATAAATCCCTGATAAAACAAAGTTGGCTGAAAAATAAATCATTCATAACAGTTTTTATAATTATGCATTATAATCCTTAATGATCGTAACAAGTTGTCGTCTGTCAAAGAAAAGTAATACCGATTCTACCATGGATTTTCCGAAAGTTTTTTCAAACAAATTCTACAAGTTAATAAAAGCAAAGGTCACATCTGATGCTTACGGATTCAAATGTCACTAAAGGTCAAGCACCTTTACAAGAGAGTATAATGACGCTTTTAATAAGAATATCTGGGAGCCTAGCATTAAGCCCATCCTTTTTGTTACTATGAGCACACACACACACCCTGGGGTTTTAAATGAACACAGGAAACAAAGAAAAATTATAAATAATAAATCAGCAGTAGGGCTGAATTTATAACATTGCAGTCTAACAAGTGACACTCAAATTTATGGCTTAAATATACTACTTTCAAACTTACAGCAGATACTGCAGAAACAGAAACATGTTTCACACCACCAAAATTTATGTCCTTGAGGATGAACTTCAACAGTATTTACATTTTTGTTTAAACAGATGTGTGTGGGGGGGGGGTAGGAAAGCAACTAACACTACATGGCAGATAAAGACAATGACCTTCCATCTATGCCTCAGAACAGCTATTCCATTAGCATCACTTCTGTGCTTAAAATTTTTAAAAAAATGGTCCAGGAAAATTACCCATATAACTATAGTCAGATTGAGGTACATTCAACCTTACCCATCCACTTTATTTCCTTTAACCAATAACTGCCTTACTTGACAAGGCCTCAAGAATGCCTCCTTGTGTTTATTGACTTTAGAGACAGAGAAACACAGAGCAAACTCCCATTTGCTAAAGTTTTCCTTCCCAAATGTGCTGTGCTGGGTTCAAAATGAAGAGCCGGGAATTGACTCAGTCCAGGTCTCCCACATGGGTCCGAAGAATGCAACTACCTGAACCATCGGTGCTGCCCACCAGAGTGAACAGCAGGGAGCTGGAGTCAGGAGCTCGTGCTGGACCTGGAACCCCGTACTCGTACACAGGATGTGTGCATCCCAACCACCAGGCTAAATGCCCCTTCTCAGAGTGCCTTTTCAACATCACTGCAGTGCAGTAAATGAAACAACTCTATCCAAAGACGTTTTAAAACACAACAACAAGAACAACAAAAAACACAATCCACTGTAACACTAACTTCGTAACCTTACCATGAGATACTGCCTTGCAAGACAGACAGACTCAATGGTGCCCTGGAGGTAGACGGTGGATTTCTTCTGTGGATTACTGGGATCAGGAAAGTGGATCTGAGCACCCGTTCTCTGCATGATATGTTTGATGTTGCTCCCATTTCGACCCATCATAAAGAGATGATGCTGAGCTGCGATATCCAGCTGTGTGCTCACGGGAATGGCAGATGCCAAGCTCCCGGCAAGGTGTTCTAAGAGCATGGCCGTTCCTTCCTAGGAGAAAGGGGTAGGAGGGAAATCATCTTTAAAGGACTGTCCACATACAGCACAACTCTTTATAATCTACTCCCAACAGGGACAGAAAAACACAGTGTATTCTATAAACAAAACACAACACAAAGGAAATTTATGGAAAACCAATCAGCCTAATATCATTTATAAATAAATTACTAGTATACATATGATTAGTATACTTTTTGAACAGTTTATTTCAGAGTAGCTTCACATTTACAAAACAAAAATAGTGAAGTAATAATAAAGAGTTTTCAAGTATCCTTCCCTTTTCTGCTATTAACATCTCATATCATTATCTCTGTCACAATTAATATCCATGCCCAACTTACCTTAATATCTCCTTTAATACCTTTAATATCTCCCACTCCCATCCTCCAGTAATCAACACAATCTGTTCAGATGAAGTTTTCCTTTTTGTATTTTTTTTAAAGTTTAGCTCCCTTATATATACAGTGGAGAAACACATAGTATATGTCTCTCCATGCCTGGCTTATTTCACTCCCCATGATGCCCTCCAGCTCTAAGCAATCAGCACACATAGAAACTTATGAATGAGCTCAATCCTTTACCTTCACAGCACTAGTGTTATTCTGAGACCCTCGCACTATGACAGTAGCACCATACATTCGGGAACGTTGTTTAAACGATACTGAAATGTTGTATGTCTGTGATATGTGCTGGATAGAGGGGGAATTGGGATCAGGAACTGGCTGAAGAATTCCAGCAATTGGTAACTCAAACATCAGCACCAAAGGAAGCAGCTCCTAAGATGAAATTACGAGAGGCCCAAGCAGAGAGTTAAACCATTGTACATTCAGAGGTGCATAATTCATTTGCTTTTTTCTCACAATAGATTTTAAAACATACGTTGCTGTTATGATAGAAGTAAATGTTTAAAGGAGGAAAAAAAAGCCTTTTGTGAAGCTTGGCAGCTTCTAATCACACTGCTTATAGCATTTTTTCTCAAGTCTCTATGTGATCATTTAAAAGTCATCAGAGACTCTGTCGGACAAAATCCAGAACAGCTCCAAGAAGTGTCTCCAATGGAACAAAAGTTTAAAAATAACATACAAGCTCATCTGTAAAGCATCTAACAATAAAATATTTACAATAAAAATGTAGATAGCAAATACCAAATGGACATAAAAACAACTATTCAACACAGCTGGTTACAAAATGATAAATCAAGATATTTTAATGCCTTATAATGCAAACACTATTGACAATGATTGATAGTATTATAGTAATAAATAATTACCCGAATTCTAACTCGGGCAGATTCTACGCCTGCCGGTTGTCCTGCTATAGATACCTGCAAACACAAGAATAAGGAGATTTATTCTAATCAAACTCATATCTGCTTTTCCAGCTTTCTACCTCCCAGTTATGTAAATATGGGATAAACAGTATCGACCTTACATGGGAACCTGCTCAACAGAAAGTTCTTAGTCTCCAACCCAGACCTGTCAGACTGGAACTGGCAGGTTACTGAAAACTCGGTTGTCCAGTGATCTACAGCACCTGGCACTTACTGAAGTCTCACACTTTGTATAAAGCTATCCCAACCAGTTTTCTATAATTATTACTCCCTTTCACTCTAACATTTATGTTCAAATTCTTAGCACATGTAAGTTAACATTCTGTGATACGGCTGTATTATGTTCTCAAATAATGAACTTCCTCCATTTCAATTAGTTAATAATCACTGCTCCAACGCCTACCCCTAAGCTGTCTGCTGAAGTCTCCAGGACCTTCTCACAGCTCACCAAAGGAAGAGTCAGTCCTGCCCTGGGGTAATAAGAGGTGTGCACACTGTTCTTAAAGGACATGGTCATGCCCTGTTACTTGATCAATATCTTGAATATGGCTCATGCCTCCTTACCATGGCTTCCGATCTAGTTTATCATGCTTACACCTACTGTCACTGTCAACATCTCTAGAGAAAAGACAGTATTACAGTCATCATTGTGGCTGACAGCCTGTGCTATTGTGACAAGCACACAAGAGAATGAGAATAATCATTCCAAGCACTGAAGGTGCTTGTGTATGGACATGACAGCCCCAGATTTCCAAACAGAAAATATACAGCAGAAAAAGTGTGTATAGGACTCAGAGGTATGATTCAATCAATGCAAGCAAGGCTGGCATTCATACATTGCCTCTTAGAAGGTGACAGAGGGCAGCTAAAGGGTAGCATCTTGGTCGATGCAAGCATGCAGGCAGCAGGTAGGTCACCCTTATCTCCTGTTTTCAACGGACCACATACCAAGAATTCTTCCATTTGCCGTCACATAAAAAGGGCAACACCTTCCATCTCCTTGAAGCAGGTCAACAACCCACAGCACCAATCATCAATGTTACTACTGGCTCGCTCTCAACTCTCAAAAAGTAGATGCAAACTCAAAAATAAGACTGTGGCTTATACTGAAAGTTAGCATTGTGCTTCTGTCCCCTCAGATCTTATGCAGAAACTCAGACAAATCACCTGGTTGCTTTTTTCTGCTTGGTTATTTCTGTTGGAATCTGGAAAGTGGATGTGGCATCCTGTTTCTTCCATTACTTTTTTAATGTTGTTGCCACCCTTGCCGATCACATGTGAATGTTCTGTATGGGAAACATCCATCTTCAACGTGACCCGATTGCTCTACATGGAAATAATGAATCATTTCTTGATGCAAGAGAAAGGAAGGAACAACTCCCTAAAACATTTTGCCAACAAGAGAAAGGAATTAACAATAAGTCACCCACTGGAAAATCTTGTAGATTCTTATTTGATAAGATTGTCTCAATTAAAATGTCTAATTTCTATCAACTTCTCTGTAATTATAAGAAAAAAAAACAGTCTGATGGTAAGCTATATTTTTCAGAGAACAGTTATCTTCTTCATGAATATATTTTTCATGCAAAGCAGTCTTTAAAAAAAGTTTGTTACAATGACAAATTATTTCCTTTTCCTTCAAAGGTATTAGCCAGGAAAAATGAAATAACAGATGACAACACAATTGATGATATGCATGTCTGCAGCACTGTGGGACTAAAATGACAGGAAACTAAGACATAAAAATCAAGCATGTACTGTTGTTTTCTCACATCTGTAATACTGTTTGTGAATTTCTTACACGCTTACTGGTCAGCAGATGCGTGAAGATCACAAAAGATCAAAGTCTGGCCCTGAAATGGCTTAATAAATACGAAGTATAGGATTATACTATAATATATAGGATTTATAGTATTTTATAGTAAAGCATATGAAACCCTAAGAAAAAATAGTGATAGTAGAATCCATGCATAAGATTTTAGGAAATTTTGAACTACCTTTCAGCTGCTGAATGATTCTTTGCTGTGAAAAAAAATATATAGTTTGGTGTGATCTAAAATTATCTAACTTTTGCTCTTGTTGGATTTTTTTATATTTTTATTGTATCCAAGAAATCACTGCAAAAGTTGATGTTATGAAATTTCTCCCCTTGGAGTTTAACAACATCAGACCTTCTTACTTCTTTCATCATCTTGAATTGATTTTTGTGTATAGTATAAGCTTCAGCTCCAGTTTCATTTGTTTTCCTGTGACTGGTTTTGCTAATGTAGTTTATTACAGAGACCGTCCTTTTCCACTGTGCAAGTGTTGGCACCTTTGCCAGAGATCATCTAACCACATCTGTGTGGGCTTATTTCTGAGATCTCCATAATGCCTCGTTGGCTTCTCCGTCTTTTTACCTACATCATACTGTTTTGATTACTATTGTTTCATAAAATGTTTAGCAATCAGATAAAAAAGGGAGAGGGACAACAGCCAAAAAGAAATCAGATGGCCTGGATTTTAATTCCTCTGATCAGCTCTGCAAGCCTGAGCAAATTATTTAGTATCTCTGGACTAGAGATTAATATTTGTTCCATATTAAATGCTTAGCAAATTTCCTGGCATATAATGGATGATTCACATGTACTGACTGACATAAATGAATATATACTCTGTGTGTATAATAGTTAATATATTGAACCAAATGTATACTTATTAGACATAATGAAATCTACATACATATATACACAGCTTCCTGTTCTCTTTTCACATACAGACTTGCAGAGATTACCTGCAGGCAATTACACAAAAGAAAACACCTTCTCCTGGTACCACAAGGGCAAATACACTAATCTGTATCCCTTTTACTCTTCTATACTAGCCAGAGCCACTGCCTACCTCTGACAAGTGCATGCACACGGATGGGTACATGTACAGACAGAAACACTGTGCAGTCACACAGCATGAGCGAGCCCATCGGGACCAACAGACTGCACACTCACTGTAGAATTACACGAGCTCATTTTCAAGCCAACCATTACTTTCTCCTGGGTTTTCTTCTCCAGTTGGTTCTTCCGGAACGGCATGAAGTAGCCTTTGCAGAGACAAGGTTCTGACATCTGAGTGTCTTTAACATTCACTTACTTTTGTGTCTAGGACAGACATGATCATTTCCTTGGCTTCTTTCACATCTTCTTTCTTTCCAGAAACCTTTATATGGGGATCTGTAAGAAATCAGAAACAAGGGTCTCATGGGCTGCTCCCAAACTGTCTTTCAAGAGTTTTCATAACAAATTAGCTAAATGCTTCACTTAAGGTAGGTATCCCTGTGACAAAAACAAGAATATCCCAAACCTCCAAATTTAGAGGATAGTCAAATTATTCATATACTAATGACTTCTCACATCCTAGACAACTGGTTAAAATTTTTTTCCAATGTAAGTATATCATACAGTTGCAAAAATAAATAGCATTTTTTAACAAATGAGATGCCTATATTTCCATTTCATAATTAATATATTGTTACACTCTAGGCCCTTTTTGATGAGTTTAAACACATTAATTTATTTAACTCATACCACAGTTTTGAGACACCATGTACAGAGAAGTGTAAACCACACATGGCTTAGAAACTACTCAAAAGATTGGGAGGTATGCACTAGTCTCCCAACTGTAAATCCACATTTCAAACTCTGGGATAATTTAGAAAACATCCTCAGAGGTCAGATTAATGGGGAAAAAAATATTCATTTGTACTTGGAAATATTTAATTTGATATTTACCCAGAATTACTATTGGGTGACTAAGAGCCTGCATCCATAGCACATTACTGCTATGAGCTCTGGGTAGGAAGGCACCTATTCAACAACCATTTTCTGAACATACATCATGCATCAGACCGCGTTCCAGGAACTGGGGGTTACACGACGGCAGTGAAGGAAAAAACACTTCCGTCCACATAGTTGCCATCTTGTGCATCAAAACAAAAACAAATCCAAGAGCTTATGTAATACAGGTGATGAGAAAGCACAAAATGAGAGCAAGGGGAATGGATCAGGAACATCAGTTAGGATAAGGGGAGTGGGCCTTAGGGCTCTTCTGAGGGGAGGCACCTTGGAGAGGAGGCCACTGGTGCAGTAGGAGCCATGGCCCAGGGCAGGGACCCACTCTCCAGCTCACTATGGGCTTTCAAGTTGGCCAGTGATCTGGTGTCCTGCTTGCTTAGCGGTCAGCCTGACACATGCCAGGTTGTTCTGGGGTTAAACTGAAAGTCGTGCTGTAATCGCCTTTAGCAGTAAAGACAGAGGTCACCGATGAGGATTTTCACCTTGCTGATAAACTTAACCGTGTGCCTCCAACACACATTAGCTTCTTAACCAAAGTTGCTCTACACAGCAGGACCCGTCACATCCGTGGCAGGGTTAGCAGTGCTTAGCAAGCATGTTTTACAATGGATAAGCAGTTCTGACCCAGCCCTCTCACTCTTTAAGGGCACCCACTCTCTGGACACAGAGGCCCAATCACTCATGCTTCCCCTCACAGCTCATCTCCCTAGGGTTCAGGTCAAAGTCAATGCCATGTGTAGCATATATATATTCCTAGGGTGCAACTGGACAATTACAAAACCAGAGAGGAGGGCCCTGCAGTGTGGCCTAGCAGCTAAAGTCCTCGCCTTAAACGCGCCCGGGATACCATATGGGCGCCAGTTCTAATCTCAGCAGCTCTACTTCCCATCCAGCTCCCTGCTTGTGGCCTGGGAAAGCAGTCGAGGACAGCCCAAAGCCTTGGGACCCTGCACCTGTGTGGGAGACCTGGAAGAGGTTCCTGGTTCCCGGTTTCGGATTGGCATAGCACTGGCCGTTGTGCTCTCTTGGGGAGTGAAACATCGGATGGAAGATCTTCCTCTCTGTCTCTCCTCCTCCTCTCTGCATATCTGACTTTGTAATAAAAACAAATAAATACTTAAAAAAAAAAAACAGAGAGGAAACAAAGAATGGCAGAAGGAACTTGCTTCCAACAATCCACTCTCAGGACCAGCAATGCTGACATTCTAGTTGGCATCAGCATTGCCCCCACCCTGTCCCAACACACACACTCAGAGCCAGAGCCCTCCTGAGGTGACATCCCTGCCGTGTGCTGGCTGAGGCAGCGCCATCACCCCCGGCCCCTGGTTGCTCCCAGCGGCTGCTGGCGGCCTCCAGCAGTTCTCCCATTTCTGATCTCCTCACAGGGTGCTGTGAAAATCAGAGGCTTTGGGATTGGGGGAAATGTTCTACAGTTTTGAAGCATTAGGCACTGTAACGCACGCAGTCTAAAAGGCAGAGGGGATGTCTGAGCATGTCGCGTTGGGAGAGAATCCTGCAGTACTGTGTGGATAACTCCCTAACGCAGGCCGCCGCAGACATGTAAAGCACTGTGTAACACGCTAGGCAGCTTCTACCACTCCTGCGATTTTCACGCTGTCTTCTGTAATTCCTCTAGACATTGCTGACCCAGAGTTGTCCATACTCAAAATTTCAGCCTCCAATATCACAACTGTGGTTTGAGTTATTGCAGGCAGACACGGCTGTTGGTCTATAACTGAGGATAGCCACAACTACCATGGGGTATTGGGCTGCAGTGTTTCTCAGAGCACGCTCACACATCAGACACACCTGCCAACCCTAAACAGGTTCCTCGGTAAGGACCCACTGGTTCCCTGAGTGATGCTTAGGGATGAAAAAACAGTATGGTAGCTACAGCAGATTTTTAATTGTAACCATTTACATATTGACCCCATCTACATGACAAAATGCTTGTACAGCACACAAAGGTATTTCTTTTTCACACACACAAAAGCTTACAGCGAGTATTAAACAGCTAACCCTACAAGGCTATGATTTTGATTTTTCAAAGGCTAGGTAATCACATTAAAGCTCTTCTCCATAGGTTGACAGGGAGCTTCAGATGTAATTACAAGAATGTAATTTTCCATCATGTGCACCAATGGAACAAGAAAAATAAAAAGCTCAATTTATGTAACTAACACACACACACACACACACACACACACACTCTTAATTCAAAGTGAAAGGGCACCATCTAGTGACCAAAATGTAAATTACCAGTGCATATAACCGGGTGCAACTGGCCTGTCAACATTAGACTGCCTCGGGGACATGTGCAACTGACATGCAGCATCACACTGCCTCCAGGATGTGTATCAGTGGGGTTTTTAAAAAAATATCTATTTTATTTTTTATTAGAAAGTCAGATATTCAGAGAGTAGGAGAGACAGGAAGATCTTCCACCCACTGATTCACTCCCCAAGCGGCTGCAACTGCTGCAGCTGTGCCAATCCAAAGCGAGAAGCCAGGAGCTTTTTACCAGTCTTCAACACGGCTGCAGGGTTCCAAGGCTTTGGGCTGTCCTCATCTGCTTTCCCAGGCCACGGAGGACTGGATGGGAAGTGGGCTGCTGGGATTAGAACCGGCACCCATATGAGATTCTAAAATGTGCAAGGCGAGGCCTTTTTTTTAGTCACTAGTCCATCATGCCAGGGACCAGTCTTTTTAAAAAGCTCTTTCAATAACCAAGTGTAATAATGACACACAAAAATAAACAAGTCAAATTTTGGATGGCTGGCAGCACTATATATGTATTTTTAATTCTCCTTTTCCTCCCTTTTAAGAGAGACAGGATGTGTGCTCTAATTATAGGTTGAACCTAATTTACTCAGATTCTGAGTTCATGACATGTTGGTCTGTTTTCAGTGCCTGACAACTTATAGATGAAACTTGTCTATGTAACAGCCCACGGACCAAAGCTTCAAACAGACTCATTCTTGAAATATTTGATGAGAGAAAGAGAGAGACACCAAAATATTCCCATGCTAGTAAATTTAAATGTGAAATTAAAAGATCAGCTGGAAAGAGTATCAGGGCAGAAAAACAGGGAATCAGTGTGGAGTAACTTCTCTTCAAAATTGATTGTTTTGAAGAACAATTCCAACTTAGGCATAAAGGTTTTGAGATGTTTATGGTGAACACCGTTTTATTGCTTTGTGACAAGCCCTCAAGATCCCTGGACATGGGGACCACGTCTTCCTTGATTTTGTAATAGTCACAGTGCCAGACCAGGGGTAGGTACCTCGTGCGCTCCTGCGGAATGGATTCACGGCTCCTGTATTTCATGAGATAGCAAAATGCAGAGGGAGGAGCTCAAAGTCCAGATCTTTAGCTCATAGCCCATGTGGCAACATACAGTATGCTTCCTCCAAAATTCCTCACTTCAAATCAGGGTCATAGCACTTACAGAACAAGCTGCCAATTATCCGTGCAGATTTTTGGCTTTTAGATTCTTGCCCTACCCACTGGCTTACATGTCTCATGTCATCCTCTGGGAGGGAGGACGACTAGCTGGTAATCCAACCATCACTAAATAACATGAAGCTGCCAGGAACACGCATTAGAAATGAATACTTCATATGCATACATTCTAAAGAGACTGGAAAATGTGTCTTTTTTTAAAAAAAAAAAAGCTACACAGTGTTACAGAATGTTTCTTATGACTTCCATATGGACATTCATAAGAACTTGATAAGCAACAATTGTTTTCAGAAGAACACCTTCTAAAAATTGTTACTGTCTATAAAAATCATTTAAAATGTCTGGGACATCTTAGAAACGTAAGAGAAACTGTTATGATTTTAAAAGACCATCTCTGGGCACTCTTAATTCTGTTAATTTTATTTCTTTAAAAAAAAGATTTTATTTTTATTGGAGAGGCAGATTTATAGAGAAGAGAGACAAAATGCACCATTCGATGCATTGCCCAAATGGCCCAATAGTTACAGCTGAGCTGATTTGAAAGCAGAAGACAGAAGCTTCTTCTGGGTCTGCAATGCAGGTGCAGGGCCCAAAGCTTTGGGCCATCCTCCACTGCTTTCCCAGGCCACAAACAGACAGCTGGATGAGCAGTGAAGCAGCCGAGACATGAACTGGTGCCCCTAAGGGATCCTGGCATTCGCAAGGGCAAAATTAGTCACTGAGCCATTACATTGGACCCGCTCTTAGTTTTCTATTCTTGCAAAAATTCCCATCTCTGAAAGCATTAGTAAATATTTTATGGTCCTTCTCTCCTCAAGCTGAAACCTCCTTCCCAGTTTATTCCTATCCAGAGCAAGTCCTACTCAAAATCTATCATTTGTATTTGTTACTATACAAAAAAGTACTGTTATTGGTAC